GTTCGTGAACGTGCACGCTTGGAGTATGCTGCATGCTCAAACCAGGCCCTTTGGCTCCAAGCTGATTTAGACGGATAGGCGAGAAATCTCGTAAGACTGCTATCTCAAGTCCATCATGGCGTCGCCGCGACCTCAGGGCTTGTTCCATTCGGGCCACAAGTCCCCAAGCCCTCAGGTGAGGTACGGAGCTTGTCGCATCGTTTTTTTTCTTTTGCCCATCGTGAGAGTTCATGGTTTGGCAGCCAAGCGGCTAAGCGTTTTCAGTTTGCACACTCCTTTGCTGCGCAAGTGGCACAAGAGCATGGAGACACATGTTTGGGTCTTGAAGGATCCGTAATGTAAGACACTGAAGCCCCAAAGTCGAGGGATTCGACAGAATCCGACAGCTTTGTCCTGAGGTCATGTGCAGTCCTTGTGCTCATTGCACAATGGGCCCAGCTTGCACAAGCCCATTCCTCGCTGTTTTGCGCCGCAACTTCTCCATCAAACCCTGGCCAGCTGAAAGTGATTTTGGGAACCTACCACAGCCTGACCGGTAGTGCTTCTGGAGACATGGTGCTGACACGCGAACAAGGCACACCTGTGATGACCAGCTTGACGCAGACATGCCGTGGCAGCGTTGCCCGCGGAGCTGGCTGTCAGAGCAACCCGCCAGCTGTGGACATGCTGACAGACTGTGTGGCAAAAGGCCTGCTTCCAGGCGATGCCGTCATCACGTGCTACGCAGTGGCTCCAGATGACAGTGTCATCCCGGCAGACTCCTGTGATGCCATCGCGGATAAGGGCGTCATTGGCATGTATGCTGTGGGCGGGCTCTCGGATTTTTCGAGCGGGGTTGTGAAGGTTCAAGTTCAGAACACTGATATCAACTTCGCCCCCAGGTATGGAGGTGCCACTGCTTTAGTGAGGCGAATGGGAGAAGCCCGCGGGGTTGTTCTTGGTGTTTCTGTCGCGCAAGCGGGCAATCCATGCCCAACTGTGCCCGTTGTCAACAACTCCCAAGATCTCAGTTCCTGCAACAATGCCTTTGATGGCTTCCTTTGTGCGGTTCCATGTGCTACAGGATTTATCCCGAGTGGTGGAGGTTACATTTGCAACAACGGAACCTATGAAGCGCTCGAGACCATTCCCCAGTGTGTGCAAACATGTGCACAGGCATACCATCCCTGCCAGCCTGGATTCATCCAACAGTCTGCGGAGGCTCCTGCTGTGAGTGAAGACTTTTGCTGCTTGAGGACTTGCGCAGCTCACACTTGCCCAGCAGGGCACATTCCTGTTCAAGCGAAGTTGGCCTCTACGGTTGTGTCGGATGCCGACTGCTGTGAAATGACTTGCAGCGCTTTCGACTGTCCCTCAGGCTACGTGAGGAATCCGAGCATGCTGACGAGTGCGCCGGTGTCGCAGCAAACTTGCTGCGTGGAATCTTGCTCTCGCTTCTCATGCCCGGCAGATCATGTTCCTGACACAAGCAACGAGAATTCCTCAACACTGACGGTGTTGGAGTGTTGCTTGCCCACATGCTCTGGCTTGTCATGCCAAGCCAACTTTGTGCCCGATCCAGCCAAGTCGGGCTCAACTGATGTGCGACAGGAAAACTGCTGCTTGCCATCCTGTGCATCATTTTCATGCCCCCTTGGGTACGCGCCCAATCCAGGCAACAGCCAGGCGACAACCTTGGATTTCCAGACTTGTTGCTCTCCGTCCTGTGCATCGTTCACATGTCCTGCATCCTTTGTTCCGAAGCTGTCAGCTATGTCTGCCATAAGCCTGAGCACATCAGATTGCTGTGAAGGCACATGCCAATCGTACACATGTTCCAGTGGTTTTGTGGTTGACAGTACGCGGGCAGCTTCCACGCTTCTGACCGATGCCAGCTGTTGCATTCAGACGTGCGCAGGCTTCACGTGCCCAATCGGTTACGTGAATGATCCTGCCTTCGCGCAGAGCACAATCGTCTCGAACAAGGCATGTTGCAAGCTCGATAGCTGTCTGGCTTTCACGTGTCCAGTTGGCTTCACGCCAGTTTCTGGCACGCCTAGCACAGTCTCACAGACCTCCTGCTGCGTGCAAGAGTGTTCATCTTTCCAATGCCCTGCTGGCTACAGCCCAAACCTTGCCAACAGCGCCTCCACCGAGATTTCCGTTTCGAACTGCTGTGAGGCGACCTGCGCCACATTTGGGTGCCCGGACGGTTATGTTGCAAATCCAGCTCAGAGTGCCTCCACCGTACTGTCGCGAGCAAGTTGCTGCGAAGCCACCTGTGCTACCTTCACGTGCCCTGCAGGCTATGTGACAGACCTTGCAGGGCTGGCGTCCACCACGCTGTCCCAGTCCAGCTGCTGCAAAGCGACATGTGCCACTTTCACATGCCCTGCAGATTACATAGCTCGTCCATTGCTTTCACGATCAACTACGGTGACCCAGTCCAACTGCTGTCAAGCCACTTGTGCCACATTCACCTGCCCTGCAGATTATGTGGCCAACCCAGACCGCAGGCTGGCCACTGATCTCAGTCAGCAGAGCTGCTGCCAAGCCACTTGTGCAACTTTCTCGTGCCCTACAGGATTTGTAGCAAACCTGTCCAACTCTGCGTCCACGCTGGTGTACACAGAGGAATGCTGCACAGCTCAATGTGCTGCGCTCAGCGTGTGCCCTGCAGGCTATGTGGAAATCAGCTCCAACTTTGGAACCAGTACCTCCGAGTGCTGCTTGGCGACCTGTGCTGTGTTTCCATGTCCAGACGGGCAAGTTGCAGATGCCTCCCAGGCCACTTCTACGAGCGTGTCTGTAAGTGACTGCTGCCAGGACACGTGTGCCCTGTTTACGTGCCCGGCAGATTATGTGCCAAACCCAGCTGCTGTCAGCAGCACCAATCTCACAACTGAGACATGTTGCGAGGCCACATGTGCCACATTCACATGCCCTGCAAATTACCTTCCGGTGGACGAGTCCTCTTCCATCACTGCCGTGTCTCTTGGTAGCTGCTGCTCGGCAACGTGTGCGACTCTGACATGCCCAGCAGGGACCCAAGCAATTGCGCATCGCCAGTCCTCTACACTGGTGACTCAGTCGCATTGTTGCGAAGACACTTGTGCCACCTTCCAATGCTATGGAGGCTTTGTCGTGGATCCCGCCCAGACACCCTCGACCACAGTGACCTTGGACAACTGCTGCCGTCCGACATGTGCGCTCTTTGCTTGCCCGATGAGTCATGTCGCAGATCCAGCAAAATCAGCCCTCACCGATCTTTCTGTGTCAGACTGCTGCCAGCCGACGTGTGCTGCTTTTCAATGCCCCTCTGGCTATCTGCCCGACCTGGTTGCATCCGCCTCAATCGACGTCTCAACGGGAGCCTGCTGCGATGCAACTTGCGCAACATTCAGCTGTCCCGTCGCATATGTATCTGATCTCAGCCAGCTCACGTCAACTGTGGTGAACCAGGAAACATGCTGTGAGGCCACCTGTGCCAGCCTCGCCTGTAACGCTGGCTACTCGCCAGTTCTCGACCAAGAGACCTCCACAAATGTCTCTCAGTCGAACTGCTGTGAGGCAACTTGTGCAGTCTACCAGTGTCCCGAAGGTTTCACCGCCAACCCTGCCAACCAGTCTTCCACAAATTTGGACGTGACGAGCTGCTGCCTTCCAACGTGTGCTACTTTGCTGTGCCCTGCGGGTTGGGAGTTTGCCTTGGGCCAGGAAAACTCCACGGACGTCACGGTTGAGACTTGCTGCGAGAGCTGCCCGGCAGGCAGCTTCAAGACCGATGAGGACCCGGTGTCTGGCCCAGGCTATTTGAGGGAACGTTGCGCATTGTGCCTGCCAGGGTTTTGGAATCCTTCGATCGGGCAGCGCGCGTGCAGCGCTTGCCCAGCGAATTGGACAACGCCGGCTGAAGGTGCCACGCAATCTTCCCAGTGCACTTGCAAGGAGGGCTTTTACAAGGATGACGGACTTTGCATAAGTTGCATGGCCAATGCGGTGTGCCCCGGGGCTGATTTTCAGCCTCACTCGTCCCACGGCCACTGGAGTCCTGACGCGCGAACCTTCTGGAGCTGCTTTCCTTCAGACTCCTGCCTGGCGGGCAGTACAACATCCACCAATGAATGTGCCGCTGGAAGGGCTCCGGATGGTGTTCGATGTGTGCCATGTGCAGAGGACCATTACATGACAAACGCCGAATGCTACCAGTGCAGCGGATTCCAGAAGGTCCTTAGCATCATGGGACGGATTGTTCTAGTCCTGGCTTTGCTTGCCACCATGGTGATCCTGCGATGGGAGGCTGCCACGGATGTCCTGAATACCAGCTTCCGAGAGGTCTGCAGGCATCACAAAAAGGTCTTGGGACGGCTGGGGCAGGCCATGACAATGGAAGCCGAAGCTACGCTGTTCTTTGCAGCCATTGCAGTCCTGCAGTTCCTGTGGGTGTTTACGTTGTTCCCGAACTGGCAATCGAGCACAGGGCCCCTTCAGGATGTTTGGAAAGCCATCGTGACCCTCGCTGCTTTCGATACCAGCGTGTTCACACACTGTTCTCTGGGCAGTTCTTTCATCAACAACTGGTCTCTAGACTGGTGCTTGCACTGGGCAATCGTTTTGGGGAACATGGTGCTGGTGCTTGTGCAGTTCGTCATGGCAAAGGCTACTAAGACCACTAAGACCCACCTCACAGGCATACTGATGGAAAGCACCTCCTTCCTGATCATGCTCCTGATTACTGCTCGATTCAGGCTGGACCTGATCTTCGTCAACTGCGTGAGATGCGAATCTGGGCGGATGTGCCTGGCTGAGGATCCTCTGTTGTATTGCGGCTTCAAGGACGGGTTTGGGATGTTGCGGGATGGCTTAGGCTTAGGCTTGCTTGAATCTGCTCCCTGTCTACATCTCGGCTCTTGTTCCCTCTGCTCCATCAGGACGGCTCAGAGGAGTGGAAGAGGCTAGCCTACGTCTCCATAGCCGATCTCTCGGTTTGGAGCTTGCTGCTGTCTTTGGTGTTCTTTGCCATGGTGAGGACCTGGAAGTGGCAGTGTGGTGAAGGTGAAGGTGTGACCTCAAGCGGCCGAGTCCACTGGTACGTGCTCTTCGCGGAACCTTGGACCAAGCATCTGAAGGGCCACTCCGGGTCCTTGCGCCGTGCGGTGCAAGACTTCCCGACCTTCACCGAGCACCTCCAGACGCCAGCATCCCGGAAGGAGGTCTGGCAACGGTTCAACTCCCACGTGCTCGAGAAGAAGGAGCAGGATATGGCAGAGCTTGCCCTGAAGATGGTGGCGCTCACTGAGCAGAAAGAAGGCAATGGCACCGACGGCCCCCAGGTACCGAAAGGGACGGAGCACTTGGACGTTGACATTGCAGACATGGCCGAGAAGGTTCAAGAGCTCTACCCAAAGAGCAAGTGGTTCTTCCTGTTAGAGCTGTTCTGGTCCTGCTCATGGTCATGGTTGCGGACTCTCTTCAGGGTGGCGATGACAGTGGCAGTCATGACCCTTCCGAGAGACTCCGGGAACTCCGATTCAAGGACGATAGAATGCTCCTTCGTGCTGATGGGGTTGTTGGCGTTCGCAGGCTTGATGAAGGCAAACCGTTGGGAGTTTGTGAACGACTGGGAAATTCTTCTCTACGCGCTATCGCTGGGAGTCCTAATCCTGCTGCAGGCCGGGAACACGGTCTCCGTCGCAGTCCTGGCGAGCGCTACCGTTTTCGTGGCCGTGGCTCCGGTTCTCCTCTACCTTTTCGCATTTGCCATCCGCCGCTGCCTCACCAACGTGGAGGCGACGCAGAGCAAGCCCAAGTCACAGGCGTTGGAGGGCATCATCCACAAATGCTTTGCCAAGGAAGCCGAAGGAAACGAGGGGCCCACCGTCCAGGCGGTCGACGTCGCCTTCTGAACCCTATAGAGCCTGAGCTGACGCCTGATGGTTCCCACCGGAACCATTTTCTCCCTTCTTCTTTTGATTTTCTGCTGCAAACGCGCGTCTGGTCGTGGCAAGAACGGCTTGGCCGAGACGTGCGGGAGCTGCAGGCTGCTCGATGGCAGCTGTGAGAAAGAGGCGGTCGGTCGAACAGCTGGGGCTTGAGAAAACCCATGCCCAGCTCCCGACCCATGCCAAGAAAAAACGACCCTGTCTGCTTCACATGTGCGCTGCCAAGCAGCCCGGGTGCAGCGGAACTGAGTTTCTCCGGAAACATGAAATGGTCACTTCACTTGGATGTGCTCTGATGATCTTTGATCTGCTTTTGTCAGTTCGTGAACCGTTCACGCTTGGAGTATGCTGCATGCTCAAACCAGGCCCTTTGGCTCCAAGTTGATTTAGACGGATAGGCGAGAAATCTCGTAAGACTGCTATCTCAAGTCCAGCATGGCGTCGCCGCGACCTCAGGGCTTGTTCCATTCGGGCCACAAGTCCCCGAGCCCCCAGGTTTGGTACGGAGCTTGTCGCATCGTTTTTTTTCTTTTGCTCATCGTGAGAGTTCATGGTTTGGCAGCCAAGCGGCTAAGCGTTTTCAGTTTGCACACTCCTTTGCTGCGCAAGTGGCACAAGAGCATGGAGACACATGTTTGGGTCTTGAAGGATCCGTAATGTAAGACACTGAAGCCCCAAAGTCGAGGGATTCGACAGAATCCGACAGCTTTGTCCTGAGGTCATGTGCAGTCCTTGTGCTCATTGCACAATGGGCCCAGCTTGCACAAGCCCATTCCTCGCTGTTTTGCGCCGCAACTTCTCCATCAAACCCTGGCCAGCTGAAAGTGATTTTGGGAACCTACCACAGCCTGACCGGTAGTGCTTCTGGAGACATGGTGCTGACACGCGAACAAGGCACACCTGTGATGACCAGCTTGACGCAGACATGCCGTGGCAGCGTTGCCCGCGGAGCTGGCTGTCAGAGCAACCCGCCAGCTGTGGACATGCTGACAGACTGTGTGGCAAAAGGCCTGCTTCCAGGCGATGCCGTCATCACGTGCTACGCAGTGGCTCCAGATGACAGTGTCATCCCGGCAGACTCCTGTGATGCCATCGCGGATAAGGGCGTCATTGGCATGTATGCTGTGGGCGGGCTCTCGGATTTTTCGAGCGGGGTTGTGAAAGTTCAAGTTCAGAACACTGATATCAACTTCGCCCCCAGGTATGGAGGTGCCACTGCTTTAGTGAGGCGAATGGGAGAAGCCCGCGGGGTTGTTCTTGGTGTTTCTGTCGCGCAAGCGGGCAATCCATGCCCAACTGTGCCCGTTGTCAACAACTCCCAAGATCTCAGTTCCTGCAACAATGCCTTTGATGGCTTCCTTTGTGCGGTTCCATGTGCAACAGGATTTATCCCGAGTGGTGGAGGTTACATTTGCAACAACGGAACCTATGAAGCGCTCGAGACCATTCCCCAGTGTGTGCAAACATGTGCACAGGCATACCATCCCTGCCAGCCTGGATTCATCCAACAGTCTGCGGAGGCTCCTGCTGTGAGTGAAGACTTTTGCTGCTTGAGGACTTGCGCAGCTCACACTTGCCCAGCAGGGCACATTCCTGTTCAAGCGAAGTTGGCCTCTACGGTTGTGTCGGATGCCGACTGCTGTGAAATGACTTGCAGCGCTTTCGACTGTCCCTCAGGCTACGTGAGGAATCCGAGCATGCTGACGAGTGCGCCGGTGTCGCAGCAAACTTGCTGCGTGGAATCATGCTCTCGCTTCTCATGCCCGGCAGATCATGTTCCTGACACAAGCAACGAGAATTCCTCAACACTGACGGTGTTGGAGTGTTGCTTGCCCACATGCTCTGGCTTGTCATGCCAAACCAACTTTGTGCCCGATCCAGCCAAGTCGGGCTCAACTGATGTGCGACAGGACAACTGCTGCTTGCCATCCTGTGCATCATTTTCATGCCCCCTTGGGTACGCGCCCAATCCAGGCAACAGCCAGGCGACAACCTTGGATTTCCAGACTTGTTGCTCTCCGTCCTGTGCATCGTTCACATGTCCTGCATCCTTTGTTCCGAAGCTGTCAGCTATGTCTTCCATAAGCCTGAGCACATCAGATTGCTGTGAAGGCACATGCCAATCGTACACATGTTCCAGTGGTTTTGTGGTTGACAGTACGCGGGCAGCTTCCACGCTTCTGACCGATGCCAGCTGTTGCATTCAGACGTGCACCGGCTTCGCGTGCCCAATCGGTTACGTGAATGATCCTGCCTTCGCGCAGAGCACAATCGTCTCGAACAAGGCATGTTGCAAGCTCGATAGCTGTCTGGCTTTCACATGTCCAGTTGGCTTCACGCCAGTTTCTGGCACGCCTGACACAGTCTCACAGACCTCCTGCTGCGTGCAAGAGTGTTCATCTTTCCAATGCCCTGCTGGCTACAGCCCAAACCTTGCCAACAGCGCCTCCACCGAGATTTCGGTTTCGAACTGCTGTGAGGCGACCTGCGCCACGTTTGGGTGCCCGGACGGGTATGTTGCAAATCCAGCTCAGAGTGCCTCCACCGTGCTATCGCGAGCAAGTTGCTGCGAAGCCACCTGTGCTACCTTCACGTGCCCTGCGGGCTATGTGCCAGACCTTGCAGGACTGGCGTCCACCACGCTGTCCCAGTCCAGCTGCTGCAAAGCGACATGTGCCACTTTCACAAAACCCTGCAGATTACATAGCTCGTCCATTGCTTTCACGATCAACTACAGTGACCCAGTCCAACTGCTGTCAAGCCACTTGTGCCACATTCACCTGCCCTGCAGATTATGTGGCCAACCCAGACCGCAGGCTGGCCACTGATCTCAGCCAGCAGAGCTGCTGCCAAGCCACTTGTGCAACTTTCTCGTGCCCTACAGGATTTGTAGCAAACCTGTCCAACTCTGCGTCCACGCTGGTGTACACAGAGGAATGCTGCACAGCTCAATGTGCAGCGCTCAGTGTGTGCCCTGCAGGCTATGTTGAAATCAGCTCCAACTTTGGAACCAGTACCTCCGAGTGCTGCTTGGCGACTTGTGCTGTGTTTCCATGTCCAGACGGGCAAGTTGCAGATGCCTCCCAGGCCACCTCCACGAGCGTGTCTGTAAGTGACTGCTGCCAGGACACGTGTGCCTTGTTTACGTGCCCAGCAGATTATCTGCCAAACCCAGCTGCTGTCAGCAGCACCAATCTCACAACTGAGACATGTTGCGAGGCCACATGTGCTACGTTCGCATGCCCAGCAAATTTCCTTCCGGTGGACGAGTCCTCTTCCATCACTGCCGTGTCTCTTGGCAGCTGCTGCTCGGCAACGTGTGCGACTCTGACATGCCCAGCAGGGACCCAAGCAATTGCGCATCGCCAGTCCTCTACACTGGTGACTCAGTCGCATTGTTGCGAAGAGACTTGTGCCACCTTCCAATGCTATGGAGGCTTTGTCGTGGATCCCGCCCAGACACCCTCGACCACAGTGACCTTGGACAACTGCTGCCGTCCGACATGTGCGCTCTTTGCTTGCCCGATGAGTCATGTCGCAGATCCAGCAAAATCAGCCCTCACCGATCTTTCTGTGTCAGACTGCTGCCAGCCGACGTGTGCTGCTTTTCAATGCCCCTCTGGCTATCTGCCCGACCTGGTTGCATCCGCCTCAATCGACGTCTCAACGGGAACCTGCTGCGATGCAACTTGCGCAACATTCAGCTGTCCTGTCGCCTACGTCTCTGACCTTAGCCAGCTCACGTCAACTGTGGTGAACCAGGAAACATGCTGTGAGGCCACCTGTGCCAGCCTCGCCTGTAACGCTGGCTACTCGCCAGTTCTCGACCAAGAGACCTCCACAAATGTCTCTCAGTCGAACTGCTGTGCGGCAACTTGTGCAGTCTACCAGTGTCCCGAAGGTTTCACCGCCAACCCTGCCAACCAGTCTTCCACAAATTTGGACGTGACGAGCTGCTGCCTTCCAACGTGTGCTACTTTGCTGTGCCCTGCGGGTTGGGAGTTTGCCTTGGGCCAGGAAAACTCCACGGACGTCACGGTTGAGACTTGCTGCGAGAGCTGCCCGGCAGGCAGCTTCAAGACCGATGAGGACCCGGTGTCTGGCCCAGGCTATTTGAGGGAACGTTGCGCATTGTGCCTGCCAGGGTTTTGGAATCCTTCGATCGGGCAGCGCGCGTGCAGCGCTTGCCCAGCGAATTGGACAACGCCGGCTGAAGGTGCCACGCAATCTTCCCAGTGCACTTGCAAGGAGGGCTTTTACAAGGATGACGGACTTTGCATAAGTTGCATGGCCAATGCGGTGTGCCCCGGGGCTGATTTTCAGCCTCACTCGTCCCCCGGCCACTGGAGTCCTGACGCGCGAACCTTCTGGAGCTGCTTTCCTTCAGACTCCTGCCTGGCGGGCAGCACAACATCCACCAATGAATGTGCCGCTGGAAGGGCTCCGGATGGTGTTCGATGTGTGCCATGTGCAGAGGACCATTACATGACAAACGCCGAATGCTACCAGTGCAGCGGATTCCAGAAGGTCCTTAGCATCATGGGACGGATTGTTCTAGTCCTGGCTCTGCTTGCCACCATGGTGATCCTGCGATGGGAGGCTGCCACGGATGTCCTGAATACCAGCTTCCGAGAGGTCTGCAGGCATCACAAAAAGGTCTTGGGACGGCTGGGGCAGGCCATGACAATGGAAGCCGAAGCTACGCTGTTCTTTGCAGCCATTGCAGTCCTGCAGTTCCTGTGGGTGTTTACGTTGTTCCCGAACTGGCAATCGAGCACAGGGCCCCTTCAGGATGTTTGGAAAGCCATCGTGACCCTCGCTGCTTTCGATACCAGCGTGTTCACACACTGTTCTCTGGGCAGTTCTTTCATCAACAACTGGTCTCTAGACTGGTGCTTGCACTGGGCAATCGTTTTGGGGAACATGGTGCTGGTGCTTGTGCAGTTCGTCATGGCAAAGGCTACTAAGACCACTAAGACACACCTCACAGGCATACTGATGGAAAGCACCTCCTTCCTGATCATGCTCCTGATTACTGCTCGATTCAGGCTGGACCTGATCTTCGTCAACTGCGTGAGATGCGAATCTGGGCGGATGTGCCTGGCTGAGGATCCTCTGTTGTATTGCGGCTTCAAGGACGGGTTTGGGATGTTGCGGGATGGCTTAGGCTTAGGCTTGCTTGAATCTGCTCCCTGTCTACATCTCGGCTCTTGTTCCCTCTGCTCCATCAGGACGGCTCAGAGGAGTGGAAGAGGCTAGCCTACGTCTCCATAGCCGATCTCTCGGTTTGGAGCTTGCTGCTGTCTTTGGTGTTCTTTGCCATGGTGAGGACCTGGAAGTGGCAGTGTGGTGAAGGTGAAGGTGTGACCTCAAGCGGCCGAGTCCACTGGTACGTGCTCTTCGCGGAACCTTGGACCAAGCATCTGAAGGGCCACTCCGGGTCCTTGCGCCGTGCGGTGCAAGACTTCCCGACCTTCACCGAGCACCTCCAGACGCCAGCATCCCGGAAGGAGGTCTGGCAACGGTTCAACTCCCACGTGCTCGAGAAGAAGGAGCAGGATATGGCAGAGCTTGCCCTGAAGATGGTGGCGCTCACTGAGCAGAAAGAAGGCAATGGCACCGACGGCCCCCAGGTACCGAAAGGGACGGAGCACTTGGACGTTGACATTGCAGACATGGCCGAGAAGGTTCAAGAGCTCTACCCAAAGAGCAAGTGGTTCTTCCTGTTAGAGCTGTTCTGGTCCTGCTCATGGTCATGGTTGCGGACTCTCTTCAGGGTGGCGATGACAGTGGCAGTCATGACCCTTCCGAGAGACTCCGGGAACTCCGACTCCAGGACGATAGAATGCTCCTTCGTGCTGATGGGGTTGTTGGCGTTCGCAGGCTTGATGAAGGCAAACCGTTGGGAGTTTGTGAACGACTGGGAAATTCTTCTCTACGCGCTATCGCTGGGAGTCCTGATCCTGCTGCAGGCCGGGAACACGGTCTCCGTCGCAGTCCTGGCGAGCGCTACCGTTTTCGTGGCCGTGGCCCCGGTTCTCCTCTACCTTTTCGCATTTGCCATCCGCCGCTGCCTCACCAACGTGGAGGCGACGCAGAGCAAGCCCAAGTCACAGGCGTTGGAGGGCATCGTCCACAAATGCTTTGCCAAGGAAGCCGACGGAAACGAGGGGCCCACCGTCCAGGCGGTCGACGTCTCCTTCTGAACCTATAGAGCCTGAGCTGACGCCTGAGGGTTCCCACCGGAACCATTTTCTCCCTTCTTCTTTTGATTTTCTGCTGCAAACGCGCGTCTGGTCGTGGCAAGAACGGCTTGGCCGAGACGTGCGGGAGCTGCAGGCTGCACGATGGCAGCTGTGAGAAAGAGGCGGTCGGTCGAACAGCTGGGGCTTGAGAAAACCCATGCCCAGCTCCCGACCCATGCCAAGAAAAATCGACCCTGTCTGCTTCACATGTGCGCTGCCAAGCAGCCCGGGTGCAGCGGAACTGAGCTTCTCCGGAAACATGAAATGGTCACTTCCCTTGGATGTGCTCTGATGATCTTTGATGTGCTTTTGTCAGGCGAGCTGTGAACCGTGCACGCTTGGAGTATGCTCAAACCAGGCCCTCCGGCTCCAAGTTAATGTCGGGGGGGCACGCGAAGCCTTGTGGGTCTGTCACGCATGGCATTGCCGCTTCCTCGGGGCTTGTTCTACTCGCACGTATGCTCTGCAGATTGTCGCAGCTTTTCCCTGTTGTGCATGAGTTCATGGTTTGGTTTTGACGCTCTGTTGCTCGGAGACTCGGAGGCACATGGTTGGGTCTTGAGTCTTGAAGGATTCGGATCCGAAAGAGCTTTGTCCTGAGGTCATGTGCAGGCTTCGTGCTAGTCGTACAAGTGGGCCCAGCTTGCACAAGCCCATTCCCCGCTGCGTTGCGCTGCAACTTCTCCATCAACCCCTCCGAAGATGATTCTGAGAACCTACCGCAGCCTGACCGGTAGTGCTTCTGTTCTCTTCAGATCTGCAGAACATCCAAGTGGCTGCACGTGCCTACAGGTCGTTCCCCTTCCTAGCGGCAAATTCACTGTGAGCTGCTGCCAAGTATGTGACATCATGTCATCATGAGCTATAGGATTATCGGTATAAGAACATCGAATCTCTGGTTAAGACATGCCGGTAAACACTTAAGATGGTTATAGCTTACTGTTGGCTAGTAGGGAATGGCGGAAGAATTTACCATGAATAGTCCCTCAAAGGGTATAAAGGGGACATATGGTACCGTATTCCCCCATTCCCTACTAACCAGCAGTAAGGTAAAGCACCAACCCTAGAACCCTACAAACCACCATAAAACCCACAAACCCCCTATAAACTCTACAAACCCCTATCAACCCTCTAAACCGTATAAACCCTGTAAACCCTACAAGCCCTATAAGCCCTAAGCCCTAAACCCTAAGAACCCTCGACCCGGGGATATATGGTACCTGATTCCCGCAGTCCCTTCTAACCAGCAGTAATAGTAAGATAAAGCACCAGTGAAAGGTTCGAAGGCTGCGCGTCGCCTGGGAGGCAGATCAGCTTGTGGAGATGCCTTGGGGTTTAGGGTTTAGGGTTTCGGGTTTAGGGTTTAGGGTTTAGGGTTTGGGGTTTAGGGTTTAAGGGTTTAAGGGTTTAAGGGTTTTAGGGTGGATCCAGCGCTGAGTTGCCAGAGTTTAAGTAGAACATTGTGTGAGGCAGGGAGCAGGATGCTGTGAGGAACCGGAGCAGAGACCAACAGGATGACTCAGGGTTTAGGGTTTAGGGTTTAGGGTTTAGGGTTTAGGGTTTAGGAGTTTTGCATGTTTTGTGTTTTCATGCGTTTGGCTTGAGTGTGCCTTTGGGATTCATGGCAACCCGGCGCTTCCACGTGGACCTGGGCGCAGTGACTTGTTAGCTGAGTGGTGCCCTTGTGCCCTTTTTGGGTTATATACCCCTAAACCCTAAACCCTAAACCCTAAACCCTAAACCCGAAACCCAGTACTTAGCAACCAAAAAGGGTGCCCTTCTTCTAGAATGTGGCTACTGGGCTGCCAAGGTGCAGAAGGCCAGCCTGGATGGACTTGTCGCAGCTCCGAGACAAGTGGGGCAACTCCCTGCTCTGGGGTTTAGGGTTTAGGGTTTAGGGTTTAGGGTTTAGGGTTTAGGGTTTAGGGTTTAGGGTTTAGGGTTTAGGGTTTAGGGTTTAGGGTTTAGGGTTTAGGGTTTAGGGTTTAGGGTTTAGGGGAGAGCATCTCTATCCCCTTCCTTGGGAGTTATTTTAATACTTCTGTTTAGATAAACGCCCAGAAGGAATGTTTGAAGATATGGCATCTTTTTTTTAAGGTTCTAAGGGGACCCTAGGCATGGTCTATCGACCTTGCAGCCACCTGTTGAAAGAAGATTGGCCCCAGTACTTGGAGACGGTGCGGCTCCTCTTTGCTAGGGGGGGCCCATGTCCAGTTCGAATGAGGATGCTCCTTTTTGGGGATGAGGTCTCTGCTGGGCTGAGCATTGACAAACTCCAGCTCGCCCTGTACGCTGGGCTCAGGGACAAGCTCAAGTCGGGGGCGATGCTGCAGTTTTACCTTGAGCAGCGCGGACCTTGCCCGGCCTCAGAGGACACGTGCCTTCTTCGACGCCTGATGCGCGAATTCCCACGGGTGCACCTGGTGCCGGCAAAGCTGCAATGCCTTGGGGTGGTGAAGCTGCTCCTGAACATGAACACTCGCACTGCCATCAACAGGGTGCTCGCGGAGATCAGCTGCATCTACCTACGAGGCACCTGCCCTGGTTGCTTTGTCATAGTTGGGTAACAGTTTACATCTTCAAGGGTACTTAAACCCAACAAGGAATAACAAAAATCAATTTTTAATATTATCCCAAAAATGAGCTAGGTTGTTGGCCGACTACGCGCTGGCCTCGGCCACGGAGACCACAACGTCGGCCGCCTCTGCATTGAGCATCTGGGCATGCCAGATGGACTTGGCGGCCGCCTCAGTTGAGAACCCTAAACCCTAAACCCTAAACCCTAAGCCCTAAGCCCTAAACCCTAAACCCTAAACTCTAATCCCTAACCCCTTCAGAAGTTTCTCGCAACACAAAGTGGGCGGCTCCTGATTTCACGGAGCTTGATCAGCGCTGTGTCATCTTGACCGCCGCCAGCCCAGCGATGAGCAGACGCAGCTGTGGACGGAAAACGTTTGAGCGGAGCTGCTCCAGTCCTATCAATGTCATGAGAGTCAGAATCCCACCTCAAACCCTGAACCCTAAACCCTAAAACCCAAACCCTAAACCCTAAACCCTAAACCCTAAACCCTAAACCCTAAACCCTAAACCCTAAACCCTAAACCCTAAACCCTAAACCCTAAACCCTAAACCCTAAACCCTAAACCAATGCCGTGGGCAGGAGGCGGAAGTGGAGATATGTGCCCTCCGAAGCGGGTCCTTCTTTTGGGATTCAGCTTGTTCCTGCGTTGTTGGTGCGTGTGCGTGTTGCATTGTAGCCGGATGCTGCAGTTGCTCATCTTTTCCTTATTTTGGCCTAAGGCTTTTTAGTTCAATCTTTGTGTGACGTGCAAGGCTGCATTGAGCGGTTTTTGCGGCGTGCCGACTTGCGGGGGAAGGCAAGGCACATCTAGGTTTACATATGGGATATTCCCCATGATACTAACAGCTCCTTTAGTAGGGACTACTTGGAGGTTCATGGTACTTAAGAACCAACTCTAGCTGTACTTATAGCCCACTTATAGGCCCCTTAAGTGCCCTAGTATGGTTCCTGGAAGTTCTAAGTACAGTTATAGTTGGTTAGTAAGTACCATGAACCTCCAACCCCCCATTATAATCCCTATTAAAGGACTGTTAAGGGGGAACATCCCAAGTTTACACGCTGTTTTTGGCCCGGCCCGGCGCGCAGAGTTTATGGTTGTAGGGTTAAACCCTAAACGCTAAACCCTAAACCCTAAACTCTATGAACCCTGGACCCTAAACCCTACATGGTCTTGGGACTCATGTGCTGCAACAAGGTCTACACGAACCTGAAGTCCAGCTATGAACTTTCTAGCTTCCTGCGAGACACATGGCCCAGGTCTCGTTGCTACCCATCGCGAGGCCGAGGTCATCAGGATGGCTGCCAGAGCAGCCACGCGAAAAAGACAGTGGATGTGCGTAAGTCGTTGCCCGCGAGAGTGGACTACTCCTCTGGTGTTGTGTACTCTGGTTTCAGCAGTTAGGCTTCAGGGTTTTATGGGAGCATGGAAAGACGTTTTGTTGAATTAGTCTGTACAGTCACCTCTTGTAGAGTTGTATGGTTGAGGGTCAGAGACTGGCATGCAATGCGACTGTTGAAGCACCAGAACTACCCCGCTGCCAGGAAAGGCAGGATGAGCAATCATACAACAGCTATTCTGTCATGCATTCCCCCTCTATACACCCCCCCCCCCCCCCAAGTTCCCAAGGCTGTTTAGGGATGATATACCTAAGTACCCCAAAATACATAACCCCGAAAGAACCCCTAAGGTCCCCCTCTTTTAGGCCCTTATGAGTAGGTGTTCTGAGTCTTCGGGAGCGCAGCTCCGAAAACGCGGCGATCCGACCATGCACTAAACCCTTAACCCTTAGCCCTAAACCCTAAACCTAAAAACCTTGAACCCTAAACCCCAAACCCTCAACCCTAAACCTTGAACCCTAAGCCCTAAGCCCTAAGCCCTAAGCCCTAAGCCCTAAGCCCTGACACGTTGCTATTTGCCCGTGTGGTTTTCTTGAAATTTCCGGTCTGGAGAGAGTGTTCTTCTGTTGAGGGGCGGGGAGGGGGGGGGGGAGGGGGGGGGATTGGTTACGACCATTTGACTCTAACCATCCCCAAACCCTGCTATTTACGGCGTTTTTGCCTCTTTGTGCAACATGTTGCTGGAGGATGTTTGATGTTCAGCAAAACGGGCGCTGTCACACGTGTTCATGCCGTTTTGCGAACATGCCCAAAACCCTGCTATTTGCGGCGCTTTTGCCTCGTTGTACAACATGTTGCTGGAGGATGTTTGATGTTCAGCCACACAAGGCACTGTCATAAGCGTTCATGCCATTTTGCGAACATGACCAAAACCCTGCTATTTGCGGCATTTTTGCCTCTTTTATACAATGTGCGTCTCATCGAACACAACTACAGCTGGGTCTGGCGCTGGCAATTGGTCCCCAAGCGAACATCCTGGATCGCTTGGGGAAGGTGTGCTAAAATGAGTGCCCTAAGTTTGAGTTCCTGGATTTCCTAAAGCACGAATCCCTCAATTTCCACAGCCACACGCACGAAGTCCTGTAATTTACAGCGCTTTCCGTGTATGCCCTAAAACGTACAGGCCCGCCACCACACGGTCAGATATCAACGTGTGACCCCCTAAGCCCTAAGCCCTAAGCCCTAAGCCCTAAGCCCTAAGCCCTAAGCCCTAAGCCCTAAGCCCTAAGCCCTAAGCCCTAAGCCTAAGCCCTAAGCCCTAAGCCCTCAGCCCTAAACCCTAAACCCTAAAACCTAACCCTCAACCCTAAACCCACATGGCCTGGGCGTCTACATCCAAAGCGGAAGCGCGCCCTGAGGTGGCGAGTTGAGGCTGTTGCAGATCAACATTATTGCTCAGCCGCCAAACGGGACCTAGCGACCCGAGCCCTCGCAGAGACTCGACCTTCACCTCGGAAGAGAGCGTCTGGATGCTTATGTCCGACGATGTATCCTCCAGTGTAGGAACCAGAACCCCAGTTGCTGAGACCCTTGAGGCCACTTCATCGTGCTCGTTTTCGCGGGGAACGAAATCACCCAGCAACATGTGGGGTGTCAATGAAGAACCTAAACCCAAAACCCTAAACCCTAAACCCCAAACCCCGAACCATAAACCCCAAACCCCAAACCCCAAATCCTAAACCCTAAACCCTAAACCCCAAACCCCAAACCCCAAACCCCAAACCCCAAACCCTAAACCCTAAACCAAACCCTAAATGCACCCTAAACCCTTGGAACCCTGCGTCCCTTCCGCAGCGTAGAAGGAACGAAGCTAGGGTCCCCTAGCGCGGCAGCATGGAGGACATGCAGGACCGCATGGGTGGCGTTGAAGCTCTTGTGTGTTTCTAAGCTGGTGCAGTACATTACCATATACTGCCATAGTATATACATATGTGTATACATGTACATGCACATATGTGTACATGGGCTCTGGCATTGCAGAGCCTGGGGCAGCCCCTTCCCACGGCCAACTCTGTTGATTCTTGCCGCGCAGTAGGCAAAAGCCCAGTGCAGGCAGGGGATGAGCCATAAACATGCATAAATTCATCTTGAAACAATATGAGTTATGAATGAGTTAGTATTTATACATATACATGTATATATATATATGTGCAGAAAACATAACTGAATACACACACACACACACACACTTCTACATACATATATATATATATATTCATATATTCATATATTCATATATTTATATATTTATATATTTATATATTTATATATTTATATATTTATATATTTATATATTTATATATTTATATATTTATATATTTATATATTTATATATTTATATATTTATATATTTACATATTTATATCTTTACATATTTATATATTTGTATATTTATATATTATATATTATATTTATATTTATATAATATCTATATATTTATTTTATATTTATAATTTATATTTTATTTTATTTATATATTTATAATTTATATTTATATTTTATTTATTTATATTTATATATGTGTGAATTTATAGATGTGATATATATCTATATATATATATATCTATATATATAGATATGTATTTCTATATCTATATCTATATCTATATCTGTATCTATATCTATATCTATATCTAAATCTATATCTATATCTATATCTATATCTATAAATAAATAAATAAAAATAAGTAAATAAATAAATCAATATACATATATATATATATATATATGTATGTATGGGCACTTGCCGCGCACCTGTGCTCGCAAGGAAACTCCCGCGGTGCTGGGATGTCTTGTCTCCCCCTCGGTCGACGGCCCACGGTTGCTTTGGAAATTTGCACCTCTTCAGCTTGGGGTTTAGGGTTTAGGGTTTAGGGTTTAGGGTTTAGGGTTTTGGGCTTTGGGTTTTGAGTTTTGGGTTTGGGGTTTCGGGTTGAGGGTTGAAGGCTGCTGGCTTACAGGGTTTGATGGCTCAATTTAGGGCTACCAAGCTTGCCGAGGGCAATGTGCAGCGCAAGCTGCAGCATTACGTGGACAAGACCACGGTGTGGACGAAGACAAGGCATCTTGGAACAGTAGCATTTAGGGTTTTTTAACGTTAAAAAAACCCAAAACCCTACAAGGTTTGTTAACGTTTAAAAATCCCTAAATGGAACAGTAGCAGGGGTTCAGCAGGCGAAAGAATCCGCCATGACAGCAGTAGTCATCTTGTTTTCTCTCGCGCCGCCCAAAGAAGTAGTCGGCGAGCATTCTCCTCTACGGCATTTAACAATTGTCATCTAGGGTTTTTGGTAGTCACACGTGCGTTTTTGTCTGTTGCTGGACCCTGCACCCTGAACTCTGAACCCTCAAGCCTCAAGCCTAAACCCCTGTGCCCATGCGGAGGTGGTTTACCTTGGTTGTTTGCCTGCTGCTCTATGGCATCAGGCCCGAAGAGGGTCGGCCCCAAGCTCCCGCGCACACTTCCATACCCCCAAGCGGACGCCCGAGACTCGGAATTCCCGCGATTGTTTCTCGCACCTTGCAAGTTCCTTAAGCCATGAGCCTCAGAAGCTACGAATGTCGTTGCCAGGGTCTACTTGATCCAGGGCTTTTACATCGTGTCCTACGGCTTGGGCATCTACCTCCTTAACCTGCTCATCGGGCATCTCGGCTGAATTCGCTGTGGTTGAAACCTCAGCGCAACACTAGATGCCTCAAACAGCCGTGGTAAATCCCGCCTTCTTCCAAGAATGTGCAGCCTTGATGCGCCAACCGCTCGAACTTGTGCATCGCATCGCCAGTCTTCTGGCCGAACTGCCACAATGGGGACCCCCCAACCCTAAACCCAAATCTTTTGCCCGGCTACCTATAAGAAACCCAAGAAAAGCCTACAAAGAACGGGTTGTGGGCCTTTGAAGCGGAGTCCTCCAAGCCTAAACCCTAAACCCTAAACCCTAAACCCTAAACCCTAAACCCTAAACCCTAAACCCTAAACCCTAAACCCTAAACCCTAAACCCTAAACCCTAAACCCTAACCTGAGGTTCCTTTCGCCCGCGGTCGATCCCGAGATGGAGGAGGCTGTCTTGTCTCCCCCAGCCAAACCTCAAAGGTTCTTGGGCCAGCGAAGCCTGCGCCGAAACCGACACCCTCAACCCAACCCGGGTTCTAGTGTTTAGGGTTTAGGTTTAGGGTTTAGGGTTTAGGCTTTAGGGTTTAGGGTTTAGGGTTTAGGGTAAAGGTTTCCGAAATTAGGGGTCCCTCAGCCATAAACACTGAACCCTAAACTTTGGTTGTGGATTCGGGCTGTCAGGCTTCAGGCTCGAAAAGGGTTTTGGGTTCAGGCCCCTTAAGCCCTCCCCCAGTTCAACAAACCCAAAACCCTAAACCCTAAACCCTAAACCCTAACCCTAAACCCGAAACCCTAAACCCTAAACCCTAAACCCTACACCCTAAACCCTAAACCCTAAAATTCCGGGGTAACTCTGGAGCTCAACTTGAAAGTGCCCCGGTCTCTGCGCGGGAGGTTTTGCCCACCAATGAAGCCGAGGAGTTCCGGCCATTCACGCACCTCGGGCCCCCCAAGTTCTTCAAACCCTAAACCCTAAACCCTAAACCCTAAACCCTAAACCCTAAACCCTAAACCCTAAACCCTAAACCCTAAACCCCAAACCCCAAACCCTAAACCCTCAACCCTCAACCCAAAACCCTAGAGCGGTTTTAGGGGCCCTTGGGGCCTCTCAGGGTCTTGAGGGTTTCGGGGTTTAGGGTTAGGGTTGAAGGCTTATCGGGTTTAGGGGTTTCGGAGTTTAGGGTTTTTGGGTTTTAGGGGTTTAGGGTCTTGCCATGAAACCACAAGGCCGACCTTCAGCTTGGGGAAGGTTTGAGTTTCGGATTCATTCGTGCGCGTTCAAGACTGCGGCTAAAGACCCTCATCGTTAAAGAAACTGCATGGGCGGCGGAACCTCACGGCCCTAAACCCTACACCCAAAACTACCCCAAACCCTACACCCTAAACCGTAAACTACCCCAAACCCTAAACCCTGAACCGTAAGCTATCCTAAACTACCCTAAACTACCCTAAACTACCCGAAGCCCTAAACCCTAAACCCTAAACCCTAAACCCTAAACCCTAAACCCTAAACCCTAAACCCTAAACCCTAAACCCTATACTACCCTAAGCCCTACAACCCCTGGAGCCGCTATTTCCTCAGGCCCTTGAGCTCTTGAAACTTTAGCCCCCAGCCTGAAAACCCGAACGCTGTAAATCTCACTCAACCCACCCAAACCCCCAAGAAATTCGGCCCTAAACCAAAAACCCAAAACCCAAAACCCAAAACCCTAAACCCTAAACTCAGAAGAGGACGCTGTGGGAACCGAAAAGGTTCCCAGAGCATCCTCCTCCCAAAGAACCTCCTAAACCCTAAGCCCTAAACCCTAAACCCTAAACCCTAAACCCTAAGCCCTAAGCCCTAAGCCCTAAACCCGCCACCCAAAGCCCCCCCCCCCCCCCACCTGGGAGACGAGGCGAAAGCTCCCAGAGTTCAAGTTCTGGTTCGGGGCCATCCGTGCAGCCGCCCCTGACGCGCCTTACGGGGGCTTGTTTTACGGGGGTCAGGGTTTCGGGTGCAGGGAAGGGATGTTTAGTTTTTTACCTTATTTTTGGGGGGTGGAGGGGGGACGGGGGGGGGGGGGGGGGGGGGGGGGGCAGGGGGTAGGATCTTAAGTCAAAGGATGTTAGGGTCTGAGGGTTGAAGGCTTTCAGGTCTTGAACTCGGGGGGGGGGGGGCTCTGGAGTGGATTGTGAGGACTTTTTGAGGTTTTGGATTCTGTTCGGGTTGAGGGTTTAGGGTTGAGGGTTTAGGGCCTACGGCTTAGGGTGTCAGTTGAGGGTTTAGGGTTCGAGTTTGTGAGCTGCTCTTCAAGCTCATGCTTGAGGGTTAGGGTTTTGGATTTGGGGTGCTTGCTCTCTTGGGTTTTGCAGGCTCTTTCCCTTTTCTTTCTTTCTTTCTCTTTCTTTCTCTTTCTTTCTCTTTCTTTCTCTTTCTTTCTCTTTCTTTCTCTTTCTTTCTCTTTCTTTCTCTTTCTTTCTCTTTCTTTCTCTTTCTTTCTCTTTCTTTCTCTTTCTTTCTCTTTCTTTCTCTTTCTTTCTCTTTCTTTCTCTCTCTTTCTTTCTCTTTCTTTGTTTCTTTCCTGGGCTTTTGTTTATTCTTGAGGGCCTTCCCCCTCTGATGACTCCGCAGCCCTCAAACCGCAGGATTCTGTTGCTGGAGGCGTTTTGCCCCAACACCCCAAACCCTAAACTTTCAACCGTTTGGTCATTGGTCGTCACGGAAAGATGGTGGGATGCCGTGCCAGGTGCTGGTGGCGATATTGCTGACATTCTTCGCGTTCTTTGACCTGCCAGTCTTTTGGCCGATTCTTCTAGCGTGCCCCAGTCGGGTTGCCAGGAGGGAGGCTTCAAGCGTCATGTTGGCACCAAACCCTAAACCCTAAACACTAAACCCTAAACCCCAAACCCTAAACCCTAAACGCTAGACCAACGCTAAGCCCTACTGTAAAATGCGGAGGCTTGTGGAAAGTTCTCGGAACATCCACAAACCCTCGAGATGCCGAGAACAAAGCCCGAACGCGATCTGCCCACAAAGTTTCTTGAGCCCAGCGTTGAGTGCATGTCCTTCAAACCCCCTCAGTTCACAGCCATGATTGCCCTAAACCCTACACCCTAAACCCAAATCCCTAAACCCCAAACCCTAATCCCTAAACCCCACACCGCGTGAACTCTGCTAAGGAGCCCCTAAAGCTTTGCGAGCCCAGCGTTTCTCCCCCAGAAGCAGGTACTTCATCGTGCTCGTGGTGCTCACCATGAAAGATCGCCGGGCACACGGCTTCCGCAGCGGTCTCCACCTCTCTGGCCACCTACGTTTCGAGCAGTTTCGCGGTAGAGCCCCTGAGCCCTACACCCCAAACCTTAAGAGCCAGGTGTTCGGCACATGATGAAGCACAAGTACGTGCCCTTCTCCCTGGGCAAGCAGACGTACGGGGAGTGCGCGAAGGCGGTCAGACTGCGATTTCAAAGATCGTTGCTCCCTAGGTAGGCCCTTGGGGATGTTTTAGTATATTCCCCTTATTGGGCCTCACGAGGATCATACTTAAAGGGACTATTTTTCAGAAGGCTTTAAGGGCCATCCTATAGCTCCCAAGCACAATCCTGGATACCAAGACACTTGCAAAAGAGATAGATAAATAGATATTCATTTAAAGCCGGACCCCCTCCCCCCCTCCCATATAACCCCGAGCTTGCACAGCCCTTATGAGGTGGAGGTGCCCAAGGGTAAGGAGGACAAGTGAGCCACGACCTTAAGGGGCCTCCGCGGCTTCGACGTCCCAAAGAGCACAACCCCCCAACCCCCAGCTCCAAAGCCCCCCAAAGCTCCAAAGCCCCAAAGCCCCAAAGCCCCACAACCCCAAAGCCTCAAGACCCCACACTAGACCCAGAGCTTGAGTTTGGCGGCCTTTGAAGGTGGGTTTTGCGTGCCTGAGTGATTGGGTGTATATGTACCCTTTTGCAAAGGCACCCTAGCCCCCTAAGCCCCCAAAGCTTAAACCCCAAGGTTCGTATAAGGTCCTGGCACGCAGGGGTGGGTTTCGGGTTTTGGGTTTAGGGGTTTAGGGTTAGGGGTTTAGGGTTTCGGGTTTTGCTGTTTAGGGGAAGGGGTGATCTGAGGTGTCAATTGCGGCGCTTCCTCCTGCTGAGACGGGGAAGAGCCGGTAGCCCAAAGGAGGCTACCTCTGGTGCTTTTCTGAGAGGGGGGGGGGGGTTGCACTCTTGCCTGTCACGCTGGCAACGCCTCGCCCTCCATGCCGTAGCGCGCCGCAGGGTCAGTGCAGATGCTCGTGCATTTTACTTTGGAGCACGGCCTGCCGGATCCACAGTGAGCCAGACTCCGGAGGAGCTGCAAAGGTTGCAGCAGCTCGAAAACACCTGGGCCCCTAAGCCCTGCATTCTAAGGGGCCCGAACCCCTCTCAAGCCCTCTCAAGACCCTAAACCCTAAACCCTAAACCCGAAACCCTAAACCCTAAACCCTAAACCCTAAACCCTAAACCCTAAACCCCCTTCTTGTCAAAAGAGTGGCGAGTCTGGGAATTGACCGAGAAAAAAGCCCGGGGTACAGCGCCGGAAGGCTTGGCGAGAGGCCCAAAAAGTGCCTTGACACGCAAAGGTACGGCACACGCAATCGTTCTTCTTGTAACTCATTCTCCTCTTCTTATGCCATGATCAAGCGCCCCCATTCTCTGTTGCATGTGGCACTATGATTCACGGCCTTTTACAGGAACATAATAATGGGCCGTACAAGTATTTTTAACTCCAAGTAGAACGTAGGACAAGCCCCGTACCCAGTTCTGAAGGCTGAGATAGCGACTTGGCCCTGAAGCATATGAGGCGCAACTGGTGTTGCAAGTCGTATCCCCGCTGCTGTTTGCTGCCTCAACGTGGGAGCCTTATTAGCTGTGACGTTATTAGCTGACCGGTGCCAGTGACTCTTGGCGCGCATTGCCTCGGCAATGCCCACTTCGAAGAATGACTGGGACGCCATGTCAGCAGACTCCTTTGCTTCATGTGATCCTGGGCAAGTCTCAGAGGCTTGCAAAGGGGTTGTGAGTTTTGGGCCTCTTTCTTGTTGGCGCGGCCAACAGCGGGTGCTGGAAGTTTTGTGTACCTGGAGGCCTAGAGTAGTCACCGCATTAATTTCAGATGGTCGCTTCCTCGTGGAAATTATGAAGAACCTTGTTGTCGTGTGTGGAACCAGCGGCTCCGGGCCATCATCTTCTTTAAATTCTTTACTGTACCTGGTGCTTAGCAACAAGGAGGGAATGGAGCCCTAGAGTCGTCCTAGTCCCTGTCGAACCCCCAAAGTACGACCTCCGTAGTCAGTCCTGCTCCCCTTGCTGCAGGGGCATGATGGCTGCCAAAAGATACCTTCAGATCCGAGCTCCAGCACACGGAATTCCGAGCATTCCGGTGGCACAGCGGGGTACATGGCACTGTCCGGGACCAGGGATGCAGAGTTGAAGAGTCCCTAGGAATCTCTCTTACCAACGGGTCGACAGGTTTCTTCTCTCATCCGTTCTTTGAGATCAGGCTGGGCTTCTTCAGCGATGATGAGATGGACCCGCCAAAGTTTGACGAGCACTTTCAGCTGGAGGATGCTGGAAGTGCTGTGCAAAGGAAGGGGGGACTGGAGTCTTGACCGACAGGTTTAGCAGAAGACACAACTTTCAAAGGCGCCAGCATCAGGAACCAGGAAAGCTTCTATTCTCAAGCTCAAGCGGTTTGGGGAATGCCCTGCGGGGCTAGCATTTACATATGGCGGGTTTGGTGGAGTGTTCTCACGGCCCATGTGAGTCATTTTCAGCACCTAGGATCTTCATCACCTGGCCAGCCTGGTCGATGCAAGCCAACCAGCGTTGCATCTCGACGTGCGAAGAGGAACCTCAGAAACTTGTCTTGGCGGGCTCTCCGAGCAAAGAGTAGGAAGACCTTGCGTAAGCCACAGGGTTTCAAGCATATGCTTGTGCTGTTGCCCAGCATCTCCCAGACTCTTCATGAAGTTCTTGGGGAGAATGATGGTTCCATGTCTGCTTATCCATCATATCGCCCGGTCTTGGCTTAGCACCCATTCGCGGGGCACACGCCCTAACCTTCCTTGTGTTTGTTTTTAGTTTGTTTACATTTTTGTTGGGGGGAGGCTATCAAATGAGCTTCTCTATGAACCCTGACCCTGAACACTACCTGCTTCCCATGAGGCAGGTAACAAGCGACCGCAACGTTCTTATCCTGCTGGGAAGCACGGGCGTGGGGAAGACTTGCTTCATCCACAGCATGGCAGGAGCTCACAACCATGGTTTAGTGTTTAGGTTGGGACCCCCCCCCCCCCCCTTATACCAACACTCCTTAGTAGGGATTATAGTACCCCTATCCCTGTTAAGGACAGTTAGTATCAGCGGGGAACATCGGTTTAGGGTTGATGGTCTCTCCAAACCTGGTTTGGGTTCTTCAGATTTGGGTTGAGGTATTGGTTGATTTGGGTCCTGCGCAGGGGTGGCATGAGAATGGCGGTTGTTGTGCAACTCTTGCAAGAAGTAGGGAAGGTGCTGAACCATGATATGGTGGAATCTTCCGATAAGCAGTCCCGGCCCTTCAAATGCGCGCTCCCGGCAACCCTGGTGTTTGCATAAGGGTTGCTCTACGTTAGGGGCGCTTTCTGGGCAGAGTTTTCCTTGTGGCGTAGGGTTCCAACGAGGGCAAGGCATGAAAATCAACCCATGCTGCATCAACCCTCACATTCGGCAGGACGCACGCTGAGACCTTGCTATCACAAAGTGGGAGGTCAAGAGAAGAAGGTCTTTGCTGCTTGGATGAAACAGGCCCTAAGCTATGCTGACACATGTCTGGTATTTTGTTCAAGAGTGAGGGGTCTCGAGAAGTCAATCAGTCTGCCCAAAAGACGAGGGCTCGCCAAGAGTTCGAGAACTCACGTCCTGATACTTTGATCGTGCCCAGGAAGCAGAGCAACCACTCGAAGGATTCCAGATCGGGCATGAGGAGAGATCCGAGACGAATTTCGGCAGGCATTCCGCACAATCTGCAGTCATCCTCGTATAAGAACATGCCCAGGTTCTGACCAGATGGTTCTGACCAGATGAAGTATTGAACGTGTGTTCTTCTGGTTCCCAAGGAAGGTGCTCGCAGCATGCGTTGGTTCTTTCTCTGCTGTCCTTTTGTGCACTTAAGGACGAACTTGCATGCGCTGGAGCTAGGCAGTGGAACCGTGTGCCTTGGCAACGGCTACAAGATGTTGAGATGGAGCCATGCATGCCTGCCTAAACCCGGCTCTTATCATGTCCCAGGTTGATGTTCGAGAATGTGTAGCTGCACGGGGTATATTCTTAATACACAGGCCCTACACCCTAAACATCCCCGACAGCCATGCTCGCCTGCTTTCAAAGCAAGGATTGTGGACGCACCGGGACAATTTGATACCCGCGGCGATGGAGTTGGCATTGCCACAGCGTGTGCACTCCGACAACTGGCTTCAAAGTGCAGGCGGCCAGAGTCAGTCCACAATTGTAGATCAAGCACGTGATCAAGTAAAAGGGTTGTCACGTACACATGTCGCTGTGATGAGTTCTCTTTTCATCGCAAGTCTCTTGTCACCATGTCATCATAATCATTAGCATTGTATGAGGGACTTTGATTCGCTAGTGGGCCACATTGAGTTCATTCTGACCACACATCGCAATCGGAATTGGTGCCTCTACGGCAACGCGAGACTAGTTGCGCAGTGTCTATGCTTGACATGTTGCATTGCGGGCGCAGCCGGGAACGATTAATGTATTTTGACCAACTGCTCATGTGACGCAAGTGGGGGCAAGTGTGGGCTCTTTGGGGGGACAAGTTGGGCAAGTGCTGGAGGGGCAGAAGCGCGTGGCAGAGCATGGTTACTCGTCGAGGATGAATTCGCTTGGGACAAGTGCCGCAAATCGCCGAAATCACGAGATCACTGTTCGCCTGCAGGACCGAAGTCCCTTTCCAAGTCACCGGATGTTGATCCAGGGATGACTTTGAAACACAAAACGTATCCAGCTGGCCAGGGCATGGCTCGTGGAGGGCAGGGTGAGGTCCGCACTGCCCCAGCCGGTAAGGCCAAGGCAAGTGAATAAGTGGGGCAAGACGGGCAAGTGAGGTGGGGCAAGCAGGGCACGTGCTGTTGGCGACTGCTAGTGGTCGAGAGCTGGTCGAGTGGTGCAAGTTGCGGTGATCAGTTAGCGATCTTGGAAGGGAGCAAATGGGGAATGTGGGGCAACGCCCACGAACCGTTTTGACGTGGAAGGAAGTTGCGCTTTATCGTCCTCATCGACTGCGGAGCATTCGGTGTGGATCGTATGGGCAACTTGCGTCAAGTTGCTGCCTTGCTCAGGGGGGCATTTCCTGAGTTTCCAAGGACGGGCTGTGGCTGTGGCCTCCTAAGGGCCCTAGAGTTTTGCATGGTTCCGTAGCTAGCGTCAGGGGAGTGCAAGGGCTACGATTGGGTACCAAGAGGAGTGCTCTTTGGTAGGCAACATTGTTTAAGCATGTGTGACGAGGACACAGCCAGCCACTGTGACTTTCTTCTTCACCCATGTGCATAAGGCCATGTACCATCGCTTTTCACATGGAACCACAGCCTGCATTTGTTTCCTGGCATGTAGAGGCAAAAGTTCTGCTGCATGCGCTTTTTTACACTTTCCTTTTGCTTGCAGGTGCTCCCAGAATTATCTGGCGAGAAAGATGGCGAGCAATTTTTCATGAAGGCTCCACCTGCAACTTGTGGCAGCTGAGCCGAGCATCGGGGCAGCTTTCTGGTGACAAGGCTCGAGACTGTGTCAGAGATCTTCTTTCCGGAGCATTGCGCGGAACATGTGAGAACGATGCCGCTCGTCCTTTGAAATGGCGTAGATTGCAGTTCGTCGTGCAATGACGGCCCGCCCAAAACAACTTTCGCACTTCCCAGCATTGTCCCAGCACTCCCGGCTCGGTCAGGGTCAGGGCATTCAGGGCCCAAGCAAAAGTAGTGGCAAGAGTCGACCAGCATATGCGGAAAGTTAGGGGAATGTTGCATGAGGGGTGGCCTGGTAGGCCAAACGTGCATGTCTACCAGGGCCAGAATGGTCAACAACAGCCGCGATGCACAGCCGAACGCGCCCATGATGTTTCTTTACACTGCATCGTCTGCAGTTGACAGATGAAGAACTTCGGAACTCACATTCCTTCATAGAAAGGGTTCCTTGCAAGACATGCTGTCCCCGTTTGGCGCCACGGCGGTGCAGATAAGATATCTTCGTTGATCAAAAGAAGCGGTCGAAGCCCAGATACAAAGCAAGATCTTGCGGTTCTTCAGAAGGGAGTCCTTGACACTCGACGTGTTTCCTCGACAGCCTACTGTGACAGCATGCCAAGATGTTGCAGGCTGCTTAGCTTGAGGTGCTTGCAGATTGTCTGAGCGAAGCAGTCGGAGATGCCAGCTTAGGCGTGCTTTGATGTCTTGAAATGGATATGCCAAATGGCCACTGATCAGCAACGGCGAAAAGTACGCCTCGTGGACATATATCACCCCGAGTGGAGTACACAGGACTCCCTTGCGAAGGCGACTGAGAATTTCGAGGGGCCATACGCGCTCAGCCGGAAGCTTACAAGTCTGACCAGCAAGTCCCTCCACGGGCAAGTGGCACGCTCTCGAGACACCTTGAAGTAAGCAGTGACTGCTGCAACCCTGAACAGCACATATGATTCGATCTAGGCCAAGGCCTATACCCCCTGGTATCTTTAGGGTGTAGGGTTTAGGGTTGCCAGCATCATGCTCAGCACTTGCCGAAGGTAGCTCCGACATCCCCAAACTTGTGGGGTACGTGCTGGAGACCGGCTCCAAGGTGGCATGTCACAAAGCCATGGGAAGCAATGAGAATGTGGACCGGCCCTCATACCTGGTTACCTCAACCCTCAACCCTCAACCCTCAACCCTCAACCCTCAACCCTCAACCCTCAACCCTCAACCCTCAACCCTCAACCCTCAACCCTCAACCCTAAATAACCCCTGAAGCGTTGGGAGGCCAAGCTGGAGCGCACACTTCGAGACCATCTGGCTCAGCTCAAGATCACCTTGGAGGACGAGAACGCCGAAGCTGTGCGTGTCTGGGCATTTAATGGTGTGAAGATCTTTGTCCAGCAACAGATGGTGATGGGCTATACCGCTTTGTCCTAGAGCCCGCAGCCCTGGCGGTTAGGATGCGGCATTGCCCATGGTCACAGCTGCAAAGAGCAAGTTGCACGCACGACGTAAATCCTTTCAGGGAGTGCTGCGCGAATGTTCTAGATTCATCCGAAAATGTGGGCAGCTGCCGTGCGTAGCATGTATGATTGACTGAGACTCTTGAGAAGGTCAGCTGTGGCAAACCATACAAACCTTGCGAAGCTATCTGGACTTCTACCCAGACATGCGTGAGTGCATCAATCTGATGGTGGAACTCATTACCAACAAGCTCAAGCAAGCCTGGCGGCTCGGCGGCTGTGCATACAAGGCTCAGCTTGGCTTGCACTTGGAAGCTAGTTTGCAAAGTTGCGCGTCTGCCAAGGCAGCAAGCGCACGAGTTGCTTGAGAAGTGTGAGAACACGGCGGAGAACTTTACGCAATGTCAGGTGAAGCAAGTTCAGCCTCTTGTCCTCTCTTTACTCGTATGCTTGCGTCCTTGGACGTCATTGCAGAAGCAGCCTGAAAACTGGCCTTCATTGGCCTTCGCGAGCAGTGAGTGGGATACATGGGAAGTTCTTGTGCCTCCCCCCAGGCAAATCATGCAGTTCATCCACACTTTGCACGAGCTGGCAGGCCTATCCCTGGATGATGCCATGAGACATCGTAGCAGCATGCCGGCGGGCTTAGCATTGGTGGCGAAGCATACGAAGCTTTCTTCCCGGCAAATTTGTATTGCCCCTACTTCAGTTTTGTACGACTCGGACACCAATGCCGTGAAAAAGCCCTTGGCAGGAGATGCCACTGCGGTGGACCCTATGAGTCAACTGCGGAACCGCTCGCGAAGTGCCCTGCACGCATGCAGAAAATGCAGAGAGGGAGAGAGGGAGAGAGGGAGAGAGAGAGAGAGAGAGAGAGAGAGGGAGAGAGAGAGAGAGAGGGAGAGAGAGAAGTCTTGAAAGACAGAAAGAGGCAGTCATCCTTGCATACTGCCATCACTACAGAGATTTGAAGCTGAGAGATTTGAAGCTGGTATTGACACTTGCGCGGGTTGCAGCTCGCACGAGGTTTATGCCAGAAGTTTAGCCAAGATGTGGTCAGAGCTTTCACCAGTGAGGAGATGTGGTGGCCTGTCTGCTTAGCGTCTCTTGCTGAGCAGCAACATCATTCAGGCGACCTCAGCTATTGAATACAGCTTAACACTCCAGGCTGCCCATGCCCAGCATGAGCTACGTCGCTCGCTCGCTGAACAAGCTCAGCATTTGGGCAGAGGAGGGCGGAGATGAAGGGGTGCAGGAGTTGTGGCAACGCGCCAGCGCGGCGCAGGTGCGGTACGTGCGGGAGGCCGGGCGTGGCTGACATGCTTGTAGGCTCAACGCATGCTGCGCTGCATGCATGGTAACCCCGCCGCGTGATGAAGGTCAGCGACGCAGCTGTCAGGATCAGCGAGAATGGGCTGAAATCCCGGGAGGAGTTGAAGAGAGCGGTCCAGATTCAGCACATGCTAGCCAATAAGGACCTTATGGGTACGGATTGCAAGCAGATCCGGATGCTGTGGCCATCTGTCGAGCAAGCTTTCCACGACTACGTGGCCTCTGCTGAGGCAGCGAAAGCGGCCATGGTGAGCTGTTCTCACAACGCTACGAACAACCAGAGTCCTGCAAGCGAGGTTGACTTGGCCCAGGCCAAGGAGTTCCTTGACGCGATAGACTCATGCAAGCGCGCGCTCGGGTCTAGCGACTCCGCCGACTTGAGCTTTGCCAATGCGCTGTTCGACGCTCAGCTGACTCAGCTAGAGCACGGCGATCTGCTGAATGCCTCCGTGCCAATGGCTGCTAGCAGAAGCAAGATAAGCAAGGTAGTGACGAGATTTCTATGGATAGTGAGGGCTACCCATTCTTGGCACAGGCAGTATGCTTCTGCAACTCGTTCTTTGGGGGCTAGTTTCTGGTTGCAGAGGAGCAGGAGCGCATCTTCATGGAATTGGCGAACGAGAAGTTGTTCGAAATGCAAACGAAGCTTGAAAGCTTGTTGCAAGATTCTGCCGTCGCTTTGCTCAACTTACTTGCAAGCTTCACGCAGCCACAAAAGTTCGATCACAGTCTGAAGCTTCAGGCAAGTTTCTGTAATCTCCAATGCTCAGCTGAGGACGAATGCTTGCTTGGTGAGTTCGTGAAGAAGCTATGTGGAGCGATGTCTGCCGTTGTCACAGCCGTGCCGCATCCACACACGGTTCAGCTGCAGAAGGACTTCTGCGACAAGGCGCTCGGTCAGTATTTCACTTAAAATGTAGATTCAGGAATGCCACATAGATTGACGTTCTGTACGGATCATGTTTCGGCTGGAAGGGGAGTTGGGCTGAGGCGCATGCGGATGCGGGAGCTTTTGCGCAGAAGCTATTGGCTTCAGCCAAAGAGATTTTCAATCTCACTGCCGGGGCCATGGACATGTCACCACGAGTTTCACGTCGCAGTCCTCGACAAGCTGAGAGAAAGACAGATCCTCTCATCGTTTGAAAAGAAAGCAGTCAGGGATTCAGGGAGTCAAAAACAACCTGCTCTTCAGGTGCAGCAGCGCGTGTGCGGCAACCTCGGAAGGCTCAGCACGTGGCTCTGACGCCCAAGAGTCATACCCCTCTTGTTTGCAATAGGAACCTTGCCATAGTTCAACATCGCAGTGCATGCGACAGTGGCAAAGGCTCCTGCGCCAGCTTCAGAGTTTCGGCTGGCTCCGTCAGGGTGAGGAAGACGATACCTTTGCCTCGATGGCGCTGCAAGATATCGAGCCGCCTGGTGTGAATGTGCTGGTGTGCGTTGCTGTGAGGTGCCAGGCAGATGTTGTGAGCATGCCGCGACCATGCCCCAAACCAAGGCAGGGTGCAATTGACCATGCTGGCTTCCTTCACAAGAACATCCTCGAGCTTCTAGGTGGGGTGCATCAAACGATCCTTCGTCGGCCCCAGGCCCTAGCCCCCATCCACCCAAACGACGTCGAGATCCAAACAAGGGAGCCTTTTCAAGAGAGAGCGAACAAAGGGGTGGCGCATAGAAACAGGGACGGACTGCCCTTCTCGACGCATGTTAAGGAGCCAGTCGAGCCATGCATGCTGGATTCAACAAGGACCTCTTCAAAAGGAAAGGTTAGTGGGATACGGATGTCTATTTTTTAAATTCCTAGTTGAATTCTCCCAAAAAAAACAAACAAATTCCTAAGTTAATTCTCCGGCCATGGGATACCCTTCAGGTGGCTACCTGCAGGCGTCGCCAGGCGAGCGGTCGGTGGCGCGACTTGCCTCGGGTTGGAAGTTGCTGGCTTCAGGTTTGCTGTGCAGGCAGTGTGCGTGCAGTGTGTTAGTCAAGCTGTCTTTGGGAAGGGCTTAGTGTCCTCGTGCTTAAGCCTCACGAAACAGAGTTCGCGTCTTGTAGAATGCTTCTTTGCAGACTTTAGGCAGCTGCAAGCAGAGTGGCATGAGTTCCAGATGATGGATGAGCTGCGCATGGTTCACCCTGCCTTTGCCCAACACCGACATGTTTGTGAACAGGAGCCCCGGCCAACTGGGCTGCCATGCAAAAGACTTGCTCCCGAGCATGGCCAACTTGAGTTTGGAAGCCAAGGAAATACAGTCCATTGTGGCTCATTGGCTGTTCAGTTCCGATCTCAGAGACGTCTTTGATCCATGGTTCAGCGTGTGTTTCTGGCACGTTGCTGGAGTGTTGGTGTTCAGGTCTGGGTGTTCCTGCAGCCTTGGCAGTCAAGAAGATGAAGCCGCGCGACCTTCCAGCTATGGAGATGGAGAGCATACTTCAAGCGGCTGCAGAGTTGCCCTTCCTGTCCCTGCTAAAGCAGCTGGACGACGAAGCGCAAGGCAGGTGCGTGCTGCAATCAACAGATGCCGCGGTTGTCCTTGGAAGTTCGTCTGCAGGAATTCTGCTCCGTGCTAAGAAGCTGTCATCCACAATCGACGACCACAAGAAGCAGAGTGGCTGCTATGTCGCACCTTGCTTTCGCCAGGTCATGGAATCATCTGAAGCCTGACAGGGTTTGGACAGTTCGCTTGAATTGGTCGGGGCAGCGCAGAATCTGCAGGGCTTTCCTAACACCACTGCTGCTGCTGCTGCTGCTGCTGCTGCCAAGTCTTGCATCGCTATCCCATGTCGGATGTTCCGCGCCATACTGCTCTTGTGGCTTTTCCTGCCTGATGGGCACATGTAGCCCAGTCAGTGTCACCTGCTAGTCTCATATGCTCGTGCACATCCGAGGCAAAGGACCGCGTCCTCTGTGCGCTTGAACACTGGCATGACCAAGGCTTGCATTGTTTGATGAAGGCCTTGCCTTCTTTGGCCGATCTGTCGCAGAAGGTTCGCCAGGAGCTGCTGGATGAAACGATGCGGCTGCAGTCAATGATCATTGACCCCTCAAAGCGAGCAGCTGCTGTGAAAGAACTTGATGAGCTCAAGGCTGTGCAGGAGTTGGAGAGCTCGGTGTTCGACCATGCCAAGATCGAGATCATAAAGCTGTCAGAGCTGGCAACAATGAGAAATGCCGAAGACGACAAGGCGATCATGCTCGTCGTGGACCAGTTCAACTTCGAAGGTGTCAAGCCTCTGCTCGGGCCTCCTCCGGAGGAGGCGAGCGCCAAGAGCAAAGGAGGCAAGCCGAAGGCGCCCAAAAGCGCAAGTGCCACATTCCTTCACCGCCTAGGCCTGATAGAGCGAAGCGTGAGGACCAAGATAAACATCGCAAGTCAAAGCGTCTCCGACGCAAACAAGTTTGTCGTTGAGATCCAGCTTCTACAGCATGCAGAGCAGCACGTCGGCGGTTTGCTCGCTCAGTACAAGGACTGCTTTGAGAGTGAACAGAGAGCTCATTCTGTTCCGAGTTGCGGCGTGTGGCGTGCGGCTTGGTTGAGGAGCTGGATCTCCAAGCCGAGATAAGAGGCCTTCGCGGCAAAGCGCAGCAGAGTGTGAAGGACCTGAGCAAGAAGCTGGAGGCCAGGTAGCCTGGCACCGTTGCTTTTACATGTCCATCCTTGTCTCCCCAAGCTTGTGCCATGCGCGAGCAACGCACGGCCGGCATCTGCTGTTGCAGGATAGCACGAAGAACAGAAATTATGAGCTGTGCTTGGATCTCTCCGAGAAGTTGGCGGCTTTGTGCACAGAATGGAAGACCGGAGCTATCCTGGACGAGTCGTCTCTCAGGCATGCCAACCAGCAAGTTGAGAAGGCAAGAAGGGCAGTGAAGAATGTAGAATCGCTGGCCCACACCTTTCTGAAGGGGCTGGCACGCCTCGACTCTGAGCCAGGGTACTGGCAACGTCTTTGTAAGTTCAGTACAAGGTGAAAAGAAGCTGTAGTTTGTTGTGGGAACAGCATGGAGCGCCCCAGCAACCAAGCAACCCTCCGTCGAACCTCCATCGCCCTTCAAGCCACCTCGTATTCACAACCGAAACAACATTTCCATTCCCCATCACCATATTGAGTTTAAGTGTTGCTTGGTCAAGCCGAGGATGCCCGGAAGGGCAGTGCCCAGGAACTCTCCCTCGAGCTTCACAAGCTGCAGGCTTCTGAGCGCCAAGAGCTCCAGGACCCTTTGCCTGCAGACGTTTGCCTCGGGTTGCGTATGGCATACGGGAGTTCGGTGAGAGGGGCTCCTGTGAGGAAGTGTACGTCTCCACACGCGCAATGTTGGACACGGAGCTCAAAAAGTTCCTGGCCAGCGTGAAGGATGAGGTCTCTGCAAGTGGCTGTCATCGCCTGGGCTCCTGGAAGCGCAAACAGCATAAGATGTCTTGGGCTTTTCCAGGTATACCAGGTACGCCAACTTGTGCAGTATCCTAGATCTGCCTCTCTTCAAAGGTGCGGTGCTGGTAGGACATCGTAGGTCTGAACATGCCTGAGGCATGCTTGACTAAGGCATTGAGGCCCTTTCCTTTCTGAAGACGCAGCTGGACACTGGCTTCGGAGATTTCTTTTCAGATGCGCGCCGTGCTGTTTCTGATGAGCTATGCTCGCTTGAGGACAAGGCCACGCGAAGTCTATTTTCCTGCTCTGCGTGCAAGAGTTAGGAGTTGCCTCTGATGCAAGCGTATCACGTAGCATGACATCAGTAGAAGCTTGCAACACACGTCAGGGTCATCATCTTCACGTGGCTTCTGCAATAGCAATACCCAGGTTGCCAGCGTCTGTGTGTTTGGATTAGGAGTTTGGAGTTTATGACGGCATGAAACCCACCTCCGAATGTTTACATCTGCCCAGCACTTGAGAGGCATCGCAGCATGAAGAACTTGTGGCGTCTACCATGCTGTGCTCAGAGCAGCAGATCTTGCTTCAGCGGTGCAATTTGGAAAGAGCACGCGATGCGGCGAAGAACTCGTACTGGTGGAGCTACTGGTACAAGACAAGATATGCACAGCAACAGAGTGTGCTGGAACAGATTGTGGAGAGTCGGGTGCATGAGGCAAGGCACGAGTTGCGGGAGAAAAGCTACGAAGTCCTCGGGCGGCAGGTTGTCGGCCTACAACGCCTGCAGCAGCACATGCAGGACCACCTGACCTCGGGGGCCCGAGTGCTGCTCCACAACTTCCTCAAGGAAATCAGTCATCACGTGAGCGCCAAGCTTAAGCTCGTAGTGGATGGATTGAAGCAAGCTGGGATGTCGGCGGAAACCTTGGGTGCCTTGGATGGCAATTGAAGTCGGCCAGACTTCTGATAAGTGCTATAGAATTTGAAACTGCTGTGGTGCTCTTCCTGATGTTGCCCCTGTTAGCTTTTGTGTGTTTGGTCCTGACTCTGCTGACGGTTTACTACTTGTTGCTGAACATGATGGTAGGTCCATCTCATGTAACATATCCAGGTTCGTTCCTGGACATGACCTGCCACTTGAGCATAATTCCCGAGATTAAGACGCACCTGCCCGAGTTCCACAAGTCTTTGCAAGTGTTTGCCGAAGAGGAGATGCGCAAATTTGACAGGGCTGTTGATGAAGTCGCAGCCAAAGAGGCCGTGATGGCAGCCACTGACCTCAAAGCCCTTGTAGGCGTGATGACGACAAAATTCGTCCGTTACAGGCAGTTGCTCCTGGAGTTCGGAGAGCTGTGTGAGGAAGCAAAGGTCAGCTTGCAGGCTTTGGATGATCTCCAAGAGCAGAGGCTGGGTGGCCAACGGCTTGCAAGCATCGGGCAGCACTTCGCCATCCTTGGTGTCAGCCTTGATGCGACACCTGAGCAGATCAAGCGCGCCTTCCAGACGAAGATCAGGTTGTACCATCCCGACAAGCAGCAGGGACAACGGCGCAGCCAGCTCAACATGGAGGATGTGGAAGCTACTCGCGTGACGCGCCAACTGACTGAAGCAAAGGAGAAGCTCGCAGACCGCAAAGCAGTCAATGACTTTCATGCCTCGCTTTCGGGCCTTTTTGCTGGCAGGCTCAAGTCTATGCAGGGAGCCGCTCACTCGGAGGTGGAATGCATGCTTTCAGAGCAAAGGTACGTGCCCCTGAAGAAGTTCATTGCCTCACTCAGCGAGATCGATGCTCACGCTGCGCAGGCGTTTGGCCTGGATGCCAGCCGTATGCATGCAGATGCCCTCAGAGCGGTGGAGGCGGAAGTTGGCCGACTGAAGGTCAGCATCCGGCAACTTTGGGACCAGAGGTCGCTGAAGGAGTTGAACCTTGAATGGAGCAAGGTGGAGGGCCTGGCTGCGTCGGGCCTTGGTGGAGAGGGCTTGACCAAGACGATCCAAGAGCAGATTGAAGCTGGGCCCATGTTTCATCTGCGAAAGAGCCCGGAAACATCATCATGGGCCCATGTAACACCGTTTTTGGGGCTTTAACAAGTCTATCTTGACCTGTGCAACACCAATCCAGGAGACCTATGTTGAAGAGCTTGGAAAGAAAGCCCGATCGTACGTCGAGGCAGGCCAGGTTCATGCCAACCAATCCAAGCAGGATTTCGCCATGCACCTAGTTCTCCTCGGCCGTGTCTCCAGCTACCTCACGTTCTTCAAAGACCGTGCTGAGTTTCAGATCACCACGGCTCTGAGCGAGTGTGAGGAGAAGCCCTGGGGTGCCATCTTCCTCTTCGAGCTTGGCATGCTTCTAGGGCAGGGTAAGGTAGGGGATGCCAGAGAAGGCCGTATCAGTGAGGACGATCAGTATGTTGGCAGGGTTCTGGTCACCGAGTTCAAGCACTTCAAGGATGTGCACGTGGTCATGTGGAACCGGCTTACGAGCCGCACTCACAAAGCAGTGCGTGAGACCCTTCAAGATGCTCGTTTGCAGAATGAGATTTAACAATGCGTATTGTTGGCCTTTTCAGAACATAGGGCTCGCAGCCGTCGTACCTGCCTTCAAATGCTTGCTTGCGCCGCCTTGTCTCAGGAGATGGAATCCATTGCCTTGGACGGTTCCGGGAATCGGGAGGCCCGTGAAACTCCCGTCGAAGCCCTGAACCATGGTTGGGAGGAACCTTGCCTACATGAATGTAGTGACTACGGCTGAGACATGCTCACACGGAAGAGGCCACTTCCAGCAAAGGGCCATCATTAGGTGCCGACTTGTCCCCCGCAAATTTTCCGTTTGAGGAGCCTGTAGGCTCTAGACAACTCCTCGGAAAGCTTCCTAGATTAATTCGTGCCTGCCATAGGTTCTGACCTGTTAGCTGGTCCATTTCCTCGGAGCCTTGCAAAGGAATACAGCACTCAGTTCGACGAGTACCTGCAACAATGGATTGAGGGAGACTTGGATCAAGAGCAGCTCGCGCGAGCAGTGGTGCAACTGGCCTCCGGTCTGCATCCCTGCATTGGATCCTCCTGGTCCGAAGAGATCAAGCAGAAGCTTCCAAACCTTCTGGCAGGAATTTTCGCGCTCTTTACCATCATCCGGTCTGGAGCCGCCTACCAACGCCACGCCGATGCAGCTTCTAGGTCAACGGACGTGTGCGCAACGGAGTCGCCCCTGCCCGATGCCGTGAATGCTCAGGAGCCAACATTGTCAAACGCACTTTTTTGGATTTAGCGAGTACCCCTCCCCCCTGACGGGGTCATTCAAGCAGCAACTGAGAGACAGAGACTCTTGCTTTAGCCCCCAAGTGGGGCCAGGAGCTGCTCATCAAGCCCCACAGTATCCAGATCTTGGCCCTCCTCCGCCTGATGGGGTACGGATCCGACAGCCAGGGGCTTGACGACCATGTGATGCAGATTCCCACGGGCGAGGGAAAGAGCATTGCATTGGGAGGTGGCTCGGCGCTGCTGGCCTTGATGGGCATCAACGTCCGCTGCATCTGCTACAGCGACTATCTCAGCCAGCGGGACTGGCGGGCTTTCCGGGATGTCTTCGATGCGTTGAAGGTTGACCAGCTCATCAAGTACAGCACAATCACAACTTACAGCCCTTACCTCAGCCAGCCATGTCAGAATCGTAACTTGCGTCTTGAAGTCAAGTCTTGACGCGCGAATCCAGCTGAGGTGAGGATTTGATACACCGTAAAGGTGACATCCGCAGTTTGACTCTCGATCTTGTCGGCGGCCGCCCTTCAACCGCGGTGGGTTCTGATCGGCTGGACCGACCGCCTGCCAAGGGCGGGAATCGAATGGCAGCATCTCAATCGCCTGTGCCGAAAAGTGCGGCGGCAGGGAGCCCACAAGTACCAGACGCATCCGTTGGTGAGCAGAGCACCGTTGCAGTGAAGGCCACATTGGACTCTCGGAGATCCCGCCAATTTCAGGAAGTGCTGCTGGTGGACGAGGTTGACGTCTTCTTCGGCCAGAACTTCTATGGCAGAACGCACAACCAAGTGGCAGTTCTGGAGGCCCAGGAAGTAGTGCAGCTTTTCCTGGAGATCTGGGGGCTCCGTGACCAGAGAGACCAAGTGGGGCGTGTCTTGCAACATGTGAAGGCAAACCCGGCCTTCAAAGCTGTCTTGGACTTGTTGCCGACCTTCCAGGATCTCGTAGAGGCAGAGGTGGTGCAGATGTGCTGCGACCTCGCGCAGTTTCACAGCAATAGCAGCAATGGGGCCGAATACATCTTCGAGGGCAACGCGGTTGGATACAAAATCCTGGATGGTATTGCTTTCGATGTTGTCCAGGGCTATCAGACAGCTTTTGCATACCTGCAGGAGAATGCAAGGGGAAATCTGAAAGATAGCTCGCGGACATTGAGAGAGAATTTGACCCTGCGCATACCATGTGGAAGGTTCTCGTACGCAAATCTCAGCTGCCCGAAGATCTTGGGTGTCTCCGGCACCATTCATGAGCTGGGCAGGTACGAGACTGAGATCATGCAGAAATATGGCATCAGCAACTACACCATCATGCCATCCGTCTATGGCAAGAAGAAAATCAAGTTTCTGGGCGAGCCGGACCACAAACCGATTATGATCACAGAAGATGGCCAACACTTCTTCACCATCGCAGACCAGGCGGATCAAGCCCAGTAGTGTGTTGTGATTTTCAAGATTAAAGAGTTTAGGGTTTAGGGTGTAGGGAAATTGCCTTGCCAGGATTTCATCGAGGTGCATAATGCACAAAAGCCAATCGCTGTGCAAGTTCCAGTGCCTGTAGCCAGGCCATTTCCGCATGTTGACTGCTCTACGCCTGGCAGGTGAACGCTGTGCTGCAGGCTGGCCGTGCAGCAATCGTGTTCTTCAAAGATTGCGATCACCTGGCTGAGTTCGAGCAGTCAGCATACTTCGGCAAGATTGTAATCAAGAAGCTGTGCTGAAACATGCAGCGAAGGCTAGGCATCTTCAACACGGTTTCGGCGACTTGTAGGATCTTGTAGAGATGTCGGGGTTGGTCACGAGACCGCGTGCGCAGCCCAGGAGCGTGCTGCGCCCAGATTCTTCCGAGAAGGTCAAGGACGACATCGTAAAGAAAGCGGCGACAGCCGGCCAGACGACTTTGGCACATGCCTTACAGTGGGAAAGAAATGCGGGTTATAGCCATAGATAGCCATAGCCATTATCGCCATGTGTAGCTGGTGTGACTTTCTTCATGGAAGGCACCTGCGATTTTTGGTCGCGGTACAGACTTCGCATGTATCTTGGCTGCTGATTGAAGCACTTCATGAAGCCATACAGCGCTCATGGGCTCGTGCTTGGCCGCAGCATGAACCCAGTTGAGGCCACGATGACAAGCTGGAGCAGGCCTGCTGCTGTCAGGCTGCACACGTTGGTAGGCTGATGGGTAACTGCTCCGGAAGTAGGCTGTTTGATCTGAAGCTTGCTCAAGTAGAGAGTCGAAAGCTTGCTATGCAGGCGGGCGGAGTGCATGTCATTCAGACGTTCGTGAGCGAAGACAGAAGCGAGGAGATTCAAATCCAGGGCAGGACGGCCCGGCAAGGAAAAAGCGGGAGCTACACCCAGATCTTGTCCTATACAGAGGTTTCGAGTTTCGAACTTGATCCAGATCAACTGAAGAGCATGCCCTTCATGGAGCAGTATCGGGCACTCTGCAGAGCCAGAGAAAGCAGGCAGTTGGAGCGTGGGGCAGAGAAAGACGCCGCCCTGCAAGAGGCAGGAGCCTTGGATGCCTTGTCACACGAGTACTTTGACGCGTTGCTGGCGAGCCAGCGTGAAGAGGCCAAGAGCAAGCTTCAGAATCTTCACAAGTCCCTGGCCACGGCACAGGGCATGTCGAGCGGAAAGTTTCATGTCGTTTGCTGCTATGACGAGTCCGGATCGATGGACGGCATTTCCTGGCAAGAGCTTGTGCATGCTCACAGGACTTGCATGCAAAAGCTAGCCTGCCTTGGGGATGCCCGGGTTTCGATTGTACAGTTTGATAACCTTGCACATGTGGTGCTGAGAATGGGTACGCCTTCTGTAGCCGAAGGCATGGCATTGAACATGCGTGGAGGGAGAACCCATTTCCGCCCAGCACTTGCCTGTGCGGCCCAGATGCTACGCGAGGGCAAGCAGCACTTCCCCAACTTTGTCCCCATGCTCATCTTCATGTCGGATGGTGTCAACGAAGATGGATGCTGCAGCGCTAGCATCCAGAGCATCCAGCAGGAGTTTCCAGACATGGTGCTCCATGCCATCATCTTCAGGATGCCCGACTCCGCGGTCCTCCGCGACATGGTGGATGCAGCGACGGAGGGGCACTTTCACGTGTCAGCTGATGGAGTAGAGTTGGCCGAGACTTTCCAGTCCATCGCCAGCAGCCTGGAGTTTACGGGCAAGCGATGAGTTGAGCTTGCAACGGTTTAGTGCGAATTTGATTATTATGTGGGCGCCCACGGCCGCTGCTTCCCGGATATCTGAACAGATGTCATAACTTGTTGATCCGATGATTGCATGGCAGGGGTGATTATAGGGAAGCATACGTCGGCTTTCTGCCGGCAGCGCCTGTGATTGCATTGGTGGCTGTGGACCCCAATTAGAGGCAAGAGCCCTCCACTGTAGCCTCCACTACAAAGTGTTCCATATGGCAGGCTGCTCATGAAGGAGACAAAAGCAACTCAACTGCCTGCCCGGCGGTCACATGCTGCGATCTGCCGCTGTTAGTGACGGTGTTTTGGCCTGCAAGTTCTAGGATCTTGGCAATTAAGGTGCCCCACTTGGTGGCAGATATCTTCCATCATGAGCATGCGTACCTCGCGCAAGCAGTTTGTAGCCCGCATGTTGTGACCCTGCTGCTCTAGCTTCGTGTTTTTGTTTGCTTGCTGACTTGGGCAACCCGCTTGAGGCTTTTGTCGGCAAACAGCGTGAAAGACCCTTGACAATCGCCAAGAAAGCGTGGACATGCTTGACCCATGCATACGGTGGCATGCTTTTGAATGCAGGAGCATGGACGATCTTGAAAGCAGTTTGTATTCCTGAAGCGACATTCCAATGTGTTGGCGGTTCACACGAACCAGGATGCCTTCTCATCTTATTTGTCGACGGCGTTCCTTATTTCCCTTTTCCGTCCAGGGCCCGCGGCCGTGTACCAATGCATACCAATGGGCGGCAACGGTGAGCCGGTGGCTCACCAAAGCATGCGCCACAAGCGGGGATGGGCTTGCATCTGGATGAGCACACAGCCTCGTAGCAGGTAGCGTCAAGCTTGCAAGTTGGAACCGCCAATGCAATTGGTTGCCAACTTCGTCGAGGTCCCAAACAGGTCCCATGCCCCATTCGTCTCTTTGCTCGGAGGTTGTGAAACCCAACCTCTCTTGCCACTAGAAGCCCTTGAGAATATCACGCATCACGCTTCATTTTGTTCACGGAGTTCATTTCACTTCGTTCAACCATTTATTGCTCTTGAGATTCATTCCATTCATGTCTTTCCTTTGCTTCTGTACTGTTCATACTTTTTTTGTTCATTGAACCCCCTTGGTAAACTCATTACTTTCAATAATACAAATTAAGGTTTTTCTCGGGAATCATTTTTATTGTTACTATCATAAAGACGCCCGGAGTAAGCGAGCAATCTCTTAATTCTGGCGCCGTGTGGGCATTCTGTGGGACCGGCGGATAGCGGCAGCTTCAGCCCCGTTCGGCTCCTCCCTCAAGCAAAGGCGCAGATCTGTACACAGCTCCAGTTTCTTAGGTGACGCAGGATGCTCTTTGCACCTTTGGCCTCGAGTTGTGTGACTCCCTAAGCTCACACTGCAATAAGTAGAAGTAAGGCTACTCCCCTCCAGCAACTGGTTCAGCTGCATTTTCATCTGATAAATTGGAACGAGACAAAGGTGTGTGAGACAAACGAAACCACTTCTGCTGCATGCGTGCCCTGCGGCGCTGGGCGCAGCACCTGCTCCGCACTGTCCCGCCACGGGCAGATGTCCGTACGCAAAAGCCCATGACGCGGCAGAGGTCGTTGCCAGGCCTGCTTCTCAGGCCTGGCAAGGTCGATGGCTGGACTCGTGCGCGCCATCGCATTCCTGTTCTGGCCTTTCGCGGCCAGGCACGTGTCGCGCCTGCGGCTTGCGCGAGCGCGCGGGCGTTCAGGCTTGCAGAACCGCCGCGGGAAGTACTCAGACAGACGCTTCATTCGCCTTTCAGCTGCAAGCGACCATCGGCCGAAGAAACAAACCCATAGCAGCCGTAGCAAACATCATATCGAGGCGCGAAAACCTAGCTAGGAAAAGCAACCCACCTACACCTACATGTACAGCTGCGTCCGCCTGCTGGGAAGGCAGATGACCGTACTGTACTCTGACTCAAGATATGGGTGTTCAGGGGACCTCTGATGGCGCATTCGACGGACCTCAGCGCGCGTCGTCGGCCTCGCGTCCTAGCTGGACGCTCGGGGGGGTCGGGCAGGGCGGCGTGTAATTGTCACTGCGGGGTGTTGGCAGGCAGTGCGTGCGACCCCGTCCTTGATGAACAGAATTGTTTCCACTGCCTCTCCCTTGTGCAATGCCTTGTGCCGCATGCGCCGCAGCCCTTTGCAGCCCATGTCCAGTAGCTCGCGGCGTGTTGCGACCATGGCTGCTCCGGCCGACTTCCGCATCTGTGGGCGACGGGGCTGTGGGCGCTGTGGGCCATGCGACGCAGCGGCGCGTGTGCAGGCCATGGATGGACAGGACCTGCCGCCTTGGTTGGTGGCTCCGTGGACCCCACTCAGAGCGTTCGGCCCACCACGCGTCGCCCATACGCCGCATCTGTATCTGGGCCAGTGACTTTTTGGGCGCTCTGCGCGCGTCAGAGCCCAGGAGGCCAGCAAACATCCTCCAGGCCGTATGCACCGTTGCTGCGGCAGACCTCACGAATGAGCCCGTCGCCCCTGACGCGCAGGCCTCGGTTGCCCAATTCGGGGCGTTGCCCGAAGCCCCCTTGCCGCGCGCCCTCCTCCCGTGCACGGATGCGTCTGGCTTCGCAACTGTCCTGTCCGCCTTGCTCCACGTGTATGGCGGGCCGAAGATCGCTCCCATTGCCGATATTCGCGAAAGACCTGCGGTCAGGGTTGCCGGAAGTACCTGATGGCGGTCACCTGGTGTCGGATGATGTCGTCCGCAGTCCGCCCCAGCCCTTTTGCCCACCTCAGTCGCCCCCACGCCAGTGTCGTGTCTCGCTCCGACTGCGATGCAGGTGCTGTTCGAGGCGGTCCGCGATGGAGTAGGTGTGTGCGAACGGTTGGGCCTCGTTCCTCTACGCGCTGCGCGCGCTTCGAGCGCCCGGCCAAACCCGTGTTTCGGCATTCGAGCTTCAGCGCAGGGAACGCTTGTTTTGTGCCGGGCAGGGGTTGTGCGAGAGTGCTGATGCCGCCGGGGCCCAGGACCGGCGCATGGGGATGCGGGGTTCCGTCCTGCCCGTGCAAGAGCTTGCCACTGCTGTCGCGCATGTCTCCCTCGCTCCGCCGCTTTCGGGATTGGGTTGGGCCGCGACAGGCACGCGTCACATCCCTCGCTGAGCTGCTCCCCACCATTGCGTCATTATCTCGCGGGCCGCCGCGTCATTATCTCGCGGGGCGCCTTTGCAGGAGGTCCTGCTGCTTCTAAGCCCACCTCGAAAGGTTTGCTGACGACTTGCGACGGCCGCTGCCCGCACCGACCTGTGATTCGCTGGGCCCTGACGCCGCTGGCGCTGCACCAATGCTGCGCCTGCCCACTCCGACGCGCGGGACAATGCCGACGTTGAGCCGACGGAGCCGTCTGCAGCTTCTCCAATCGGCCCGCCCTACAGGGCTAGGCTGTGGGCTCCGACGCCTCGCATGTGAATGTGTTGCACTCGCCGCAGCGTTAGTAGTAGTGGAGTCAGTAGTGGAGTCAGAACGCCGTTCACGTGGCCGTGGTCGGCACGACGGGGATGGGGACGACTTGGCCGGGAGCACGCCGCTCCCTCGTCCATCCCGACTGGAGTCCAGGACGTCGCTCCCCAGCTTCAAGCCGAGCCCTCCGCCCCTACCATTGCCCCAGTTTAAAGTTTGGATGACGAACCTCGAGGACACCCTGTGCAGGCGTGTCTTGACGCGCCAAAGTGTATAAAGTGGCCCAGCTCAAGTCCACGGCACGCTGCGCACGGCCTACCGGGCCCGTCTCCAGCATTCTCCATCTCATCGCTGATGCTCCCACGCCTGCCTGCGAGCTCCGAGGCTGGACGCTCTTCTAGTTGGCTGCCCAAGGCGCACCCCCCCGGCCTCGAACAACGATGCACGCGCTTTTCCGCAATGGAGCTTGGCGCTGCTGCTGATGCGGCCCCGCTGCTGGACGCGCCCTTGTTTCCCGAGCCTTTCGCGCCCGGCGCCCCCCGAGACACTACACGAGCAGCGGGAACCTAGCTGCCGACCGCAGGAGCCGTATGCGCCGCTGCGGGGAGACCTCCTCGAGATCCAGCTGGTCCTGTGCAACCTGCCGCTGCATTCCTTCTCACATCTCTCCGCCATGTGGTGCCACCAACGAGCACTTGCGCATCCTACTTGACCCTGAGAGAGGCTGCACGCTCCTGCTCCAGACCGCTGAGCATTTCGCGCGAGCAGAGGTCCCAGGGGCCATCCTTGCTGCGACCTGGGTCGCGCGCATTGTCGCGCTCCGCAAACCCAACGGTCGTGAGCGCACGCTCGCTTGAGTACCCGCTGAGACGCTGCGTGTTGCCTCCGAAGTTGAACGGCGGGCAACAATGCTATCCGCCAACGCAATCGGAGCTTTTGATCATGTCTCCAAGCAGCGGATGCTCGCCGCATCTCGTATGCCACCGATCATGATGCCGGCATCGTGGCATGCCTCGCCGCGCTCCTGGACCAGGCCAACCAACCGCTGCTCGCAAAGACGATTCTTGAAGCACAGCTTGCCATGGTTGATCGTGATGCCGGCTACTAGGCATCTTGGGTGGATTTCCTGCCAGCGGTGCGTGCGAGGTCACCACTCGTAGCCGACAACCTCGTCCAGGCGCTTGCGCTCCTGGCGCCTCTGGCTCCGCCAGTGTCGCAGCAAAAGCATGTTGTTGACTACCTCCACGCCCGGGGATGCGACGTCGCGGCCTGGGATGTCTCACAGGCCGCCCCAGTCGAGCCTGATGCCTCCCCCAACCAGCCTGGTGATTCCGGGTGCTGAGTTTCGTGTAATCCTGCTGCGGCGCTTGCGACTCCCGCTGCCCTGGCCCCGCATGCCTGCTCCGGCCGCGGGCAGCTCGACGCCCTTGGGGACCACCGCACGGCGTGTGCGACGTCCCGAGCCCTTGCATCTCGCACACGTGCCGTTGCTCGTGTTTGCCAAGAGGCCGGGGCACGCGTCGCGCATCGTCGCGCTTTACGTGCGGTTGGC